TAAGACAGGGTTAGTGGTTACAGAAGCCATTAAAACCATTCTACCAAAGGGGGTTAAAAACATTCAATCTGACAATGGAAAAGAATTTTTTAATCAATATTTTAGCAAACTAATGAAAAACTTAAATATTAATCACTATCACACTTTTTCTACAACTAAGGCTGCGATTGTGGAGAGGTTTCAGAGAACTTTAAAGAATTGGTTATATAGGGAATTTAGTGCTCAGGGAAGTTATAAATGGGTGGATTTACTTCCAAAGTTAATTCGAAAATATAATAATAAGGTGCATAGATCTATAGGTATGAAGCCTAACCAAGTGAATATTAAGAACAGTAAATATGTGCATGAGAGGTTGACTTCTAAAGTAGTGCAAGTCAAAAAGCCAAGATATAAGGTAGGTGATAGTGTGAGAATTTCCAAGTATAAACATGTTTTTAGTAAAGGATATACCCCGAATTGGACAGGGGAGCTATTTACAATAGCAGAAGTAAAGAATACAAAGCCTGTGACTTATATCTTGAAAGATGAAAATGGTAATATAATCAGGGGAGGCTTCTATACAGAGGAATTGTTAAAGACCAAATATAAAGACATGTATTTGATAGAAAAGGTTATTAGGAGAAAAGGTGATTTATTATATGTCAAATGGCTTGGGTTCCCAAGTAGCCAGAACTCATGGATTTCCACTAAGGATGTCCAAGGGAGCACGCCATGAGCCGGGAGCGCACACACGCCATGAGCCGAGTTCGCGTACAAACCTCGCACTGTCAAGTTGATGATTTTGTGAATGGATGTGGATTTGAAATAGTAATGGAGTTATACAATGGCATTGAACATTTATATAGGCTTGTATTGGCCGAGAGCTGGATTTTAAAAAAAGTGGTCAAAAAAAGCTCACCATGTTATTCTTATGGGGAAAACGTGCCTAAAGTGATGTCATATTGCTAGTTCGCCACTACTCTACATTTGAACTTGTAAGGGTCAATAAATATAAGAAATAGCTTTTTTAGCTTAATATCGAATATATTTATGGGGAATAAGTAAGAAATAAGGTTTGACAATTATATAGGGATATTTAGGCAAAGATCAGGATTTTTGGTTTTAGTGGCCAAAAAATGATCCCATGTTATTTCTTATGGGAAAACGTGCCCCAAGTGCCGTTAAACCGGTAGTTCTCCACTACTGATCGCAAAAACTTCCTCAGCGTGTTAAATGAATTTGAATTACATATTTTAATACGAAACACAAATTCACTTGTTTATCGCGCTTATCGATTAGCTGGAGACGTTTTTTATTTTGTTCTGATTTAAGTAGGGTGTGTTTTGGTGTTACCATGTATAAACTCCCTTGGTTAATCTACGATGTTACCATTGACAAGTCAAAGATGTTTACATTTTCTTCTTGAAACAATTATTTGAAAATAAAATTGTAGTCTGCAATGAATAAAACATAATGTATAAAATTTACCCTACAATGAGTCCTTTCTGTCAGCCCTCCCAAATATAGCCGAACATGTCACACGAGAAAATTTAAAAGTTGTCTTTTGTCAACGAGATTTTGTTAACCGAGATGTCTTCAAACATCCACACTCTCCCAGATTCCTCGAGAAGCGAGTTCCACAGTATGTTAATGTGTTCGAACCGGCAACACCGCGTGCCTCGAGCTATTTGCTGGACTAACCACCTGATTATTCTAACAAGGCGTTCCACGTTTTGTGTGTTTTCGTAATAGTTACTACCTCGTCCGATCTCGTCGTTTTTTACGGCCGGTAATTACAAACCTGTCCCGTTTTAATTTGCGTCCCCCCTAATTGTCTGATCGTTGAGCAAATAAGCTGTACATCATGGTGATTACGAGCTCGGTGTTTAGCAAATAATATCTTGTTATTGGCGTCCATCGATCTTGACTGGGGGCAATGTAGACCACCGTGGATGTTGGTTAATCTGTAGTTTCGGATATATTTCTCATCAAATGTTTGCCAAAATTGATAGATATAGGTATGTAGCACTTTTGCTTCGGTTTTAAAATATATAAGCTTGGTCTCGCATTCGCCAATAAGAAATTCAACGTGGCTGTCCAAGTAACGTAGATAGAGCGAGGGACTTTTGTCTTGGTACGGGTTCAAACCTCGCCAATCACTTGGTTTCAGGTATTTCGTGACCTTTTGGTCCGGAACCAACCTTTAGCTGTAGGTCAAACCGTCTAAAAAGTATACAATGTAAGTCTAGTAACTACAACATTTTGTTATTTTCAACATAGTTACTCTACTCCCACTGCTCATGATAAAGTTTGGTGACATGCCAATGGGAGAAAGTATGAGTCAGATTTCTGATAACGTTTATTATTTTAGAGTACAATTGAAAACTTTACCTTCCCGCTTTTAGGACATGCAGCAGTTAAACAATGTATTTTGTAGTAGAAAATAGTTAAGTTAGAGGGTACCGGTAGGCTACCAATCATATGAACATGTGCTGTACTCAAGAAGTGCCACAGTGAAACATATCTCAAAATTTCACCAATCAGATTCACAATTTTGACTAAATCAAGAAGGGTATACAGGGTGTCCCACGTAAGGTGTCTCAAATTGATTACGAAAAAACTGCTTAAAGTACAAGGATGAAATAAAATTAATGGTTGACTTTTCTTACTCATTATGAGATTAGCTTTTTAGGCCTACTGTGATATGCTACAAATAATGGTTTTGTAAAATAGTAAAAATTCCAAAAAAAATGATTTTTGGGAATTGTTAAATATGACCATTGTTCAACAAATTTCAAATAGCAACACATGTCAATTGGCACATTATTTTATAGGTTTTTAATCCTTAACAACTTTGTAATGTAAACTTACTTCGTATCTCTTTAATTTTGGGTAGATAACAAAATCCCTATTTTTCCTATATTAAATGCATGTTATTTGACATTTCATTTAGTGTTGAACCCAAATAACGTGTATTTGATATAGGAAAAGTAGGTTTTTTGTAATTTACACAAAAACTAAAAGAGGTACGAAGTAAGTGTAAATTACAACGTTGTTAAGAATTAAAAGATCTATAAAATAATGTGCCACTTGACATGTGTTGCTATTTGGAAATGTTGTACAATGGGCATTTGCAAATGTTCAAAAATCAATATTTTTTCAATTTCTATTGTTATAAAAAACCCGTTACTTGGTGCATATCCCAGTAAAGCTAATTTCATAACGAGTGAGAAAATTAAACCAGAGAAGTGCTAAATGCTTTGGTATATGAAACACAGAGCATTAAAACATAATTAATAAAAGAAACTGCCTCCTTTTGAAACGGAAAATGATCATTCATTTATGTTTTCGCCAAAATATTTGTCTATTAAATCCCTTTAAAATTATGTATAACATGACATATGTTTACATTTTAAAATCCCAAAATTTGAACTAGTGACTCTTAGTTTTTGGCACACCCTGTATCGGAAAAAGTTAAAAATATTTTTACCTTATTCCTTGGAGTCGATTTAGCGAGAGATAATTTTATTTCACCCTTGTATAAGCCGTTTTTCTGTAATCAATTTGAGAAACCTTTCGTGGTACACCCTGTATATAATCAAGGTTATTCACTAGGTATATTTCAAAGACACATACAGCTAGTTGTATACGAATATCAACACATTCAGTCTTGTTTGTTAAGCGTTGAAATCGTTTGTTTGAAACGCCTAACTATAAACATTTACGCCTTGTGTCAAAGACAATCAAACTTGTTTGGATCTGATGCTTAACTGTTTTAGCCTTGCAGTATGGTTTACAATAGTATATTTCGTACCTAGGGCCGAAAATGAGGTTTTGCCGGCTCGAGATAGTTTTTAAGTTCGAGACGAAGTCGAGAACTTAAATCGATCGAGAGCCGCAAAACCATTTCGGTCCGTGGTACGAACGCTATTTTTCACCACACTATACCCTATTACCACTATTCACCACAATAATAATGCACACTGATAGTCAACACAACTACAACTTTAAGGTTATGTGAAGAAATAATTTGAGGAATCAGCAAAAATAAAAATATATAGTTGCTAGGCAACGGTGACAATAACACAATTCTATTGAAATGCTATGGATTTTGATTATGTATTTAAAATGCAGTCATGTTTTAAGTAAGTAAGCGGACAGCTGATTTTGCGGCCCCGGCCTGTAAAAACCTGCTCGGTCCCCAAATTATGGACAGCTGGCATCGCCAGCAAAACGTAACTTTCGGCCACCAATTAACGTATGTAATACAGCCAAAAACATGATAGTGTGGTGAAAAACATGTTATATAGAGAAGAGGTTTGTTACAATGTCATCTAAAATCAGCTGTGCATAATGTTTAAACGTCTTGTGAGTAAACAGTATAAATGTAAAGTAGATCGAGTTGTTTAATTTGCTCAAGAAGTATAAAATTAAAATATGACCCTACAAATGTATGATTTCCAATATTTCTAGCAATTTGGAAGACATTTTAGGAGCCGTTTTTAAAATACGTTTTTACGATAATTCTTTTTTACGATTATAAAGTTATCTCCCACAGTATGATGCAAATAGAAATACAGTAGTTGTTCATCAGAGAAAGTGTGTTTTTTTACTTAATCGTATTTCCAGAAATTGCGTAGAAAAAAGTTAAGCCACTTTCGCTCCTAGTGATGAAAAAACTCCTATTAGATTACAGGGCACTCTAGAAGGCTCATTATGTTTTGTATGATAAAAATATTGGAGAGCTGTCCAGGATAGTCCAGATGGGATGTTTCCTTGAGAAACCCCAAGTAAATGGTTATAGTCTAGCTAGTTTCGGTGCTAAGCTCACGACGTGGTCGTGATGGCCCAATGGGGTTGTTTGAGAATTTTACCTTCTTCAGGAGTGCAACTTATACTGGAGGTTGAATCGAGAAAGCAAAAGAGGAAACACATTTTGAGTTTGGTTAACTTGATGGTCGAAGAGAAATATTTTGAAGATTGCCCTTGAAAAGTCATGTGATTTTATTTGATTGTTACAGGTGGATCATGTTGATGACGTGCTGGTTCTTGTCTCTAGGTCTAGGATGGACACATGATCGTATACTGCCTCACGCTCCTCTACTACACCTCCTCAGCTGGGGTGTTCCTGCTTGTCTTACCATCGCCGTCCTGATCCTTAGATACGTCGACGCTGAAGAGCTAACAGGTAGGCATGTCAGAGCTAAACGTACAACTCCTAAAACCACTTAACCACATAAATTTCCATAATACCTGTATACATAATCATCAACATTTACAGGGTAGACTTCCTTATCTGTTGGCACAAACAACCGAATGACAATATCGATTATTCTATTGTTTCATTCGATTTATCTTTTGGTTCGTTGGGTTAGGTTAACCTTACCTAACTAACCAAACGATATATCGAATAATCGATATATCAATCGATATTTGTATTCGGTTGTTTGTGCCAACACATACGGAAGTCCATTTATATTTTAAACGTAAACCTGTTGAATTCCAGTTGTAAAGGTGTTTTGCTTTCTTTGGCGATACTGCTTTTAGGAGAGTTTGTAGTAGCTACTTGCGAATTTCAACTGCAGTAATTATAAAAGGGTACAAAGCTAGTTAGATTTTACGGAAAATATTTGAGTCAAGTACAAAACTTAGGTAGATAGTACAAAATATGTCTAGCAGGTTGATATAACGGAAACGAATGATTAACTCAGACGCCTTTGAAATAACCCAAGGATTTGATATACTTTAATAAACGCGTATACATCATAATACCTTTTTAAATTGTGACAATGATATATGGTTTAAGATATTTAAAGATTAATATATACATTTAAAAGAGGAAAGGAATGTGTCCGCTATAGAATTTTTAATCGTTGACCAACCTACAAATTTGCTTGAACTTAACATTTTGCCAAAACTTTAACCTGGCTTTTTCCCAAATCGCCTCCCAGACCGTGTTGAGAATTCAAACGAAGTATTATTAAACACCCGCCAAATAGAAAGGAACAATGGGACAAGCCCGTATGCATAGCAACATATGCATAAGGGGCCCGACGTTCTACGTTGTCAATTACCAAGGAAGCCCGTAAATAAAGGAGCGTCGTATCGGCAATTATGGTCGGTGGTCCAGTATGCTAAGCAGCCGCTCAGCCGCTCCAGGAGTTATAGCGTTATTGTTTGCCCTCCAGTCACCAGACAGCCGATACGGTCTCTGAGTTATGCAAGGCTAAAACAGATATATAAAAGTCCCTATTTCGTTTAGGCCACTGTGCACGTGAAATATTGCACTGCATTAGATGGTCTTTTTCCGACTTTAGCGATTATTTAGAAAAACGTTTGAATTATTATAAAAGTGTTTACTAGAACCGAATCGAATTTATTCATCCAACAGTGGATTAACCACGGGCAGAGAGTCTGAAGCAGACTAGAAAATATGTTGTATGATTGATGATGTTGGCACATTTTCGGGGGGGGGGGGGGAGACGAGGGACGGAGTGACACTAGATAAGTATGCAAAATCTTGTAAAAATCCATTAAATGCTAATTTTTAAGCCTTAATTTCTAAAACTATAATTTAATAATATATTAATCTTTATTTTTGGGTGGCTCAGTCGGTAGCGCCTACAGTAGGACTTACGGCTTAGAAACGTTCTCTTAGACAATTATTTTGAAATGAAATTAAAATTGTGTTCCATCAAAAACACAATAACTGTTACATAGAGTTGTACAAACAGATGGGTTACCCATTCATTATTCCCACTTAGGCATAGCCTGTGAGTGGGGATTGGTCTTCACCAACAGTCAAAAATCGTATTTTGTAGAAAAACTAAATAACTAAAATTATGTGTACATACTTTTTTTTAGGAGAAGGGATTGCACATTCATGTTATAAATACTGGGTAATAGTTCAATTTGTGTAGGAAAAGTTGATATTTTTATTCTGATGATTTAAAGATTGCAGTTATATATTAAAGTACCCTGGGACCGGGCATGGTAATAGTTTTATGCCAATTAAAACCCCCAGATGTAATTAGTTTACTTGGAATGCCTCAGTAGTTGGGGATTAAGTTTTTAAGGGTTAACTAAGTAAAATAATCAGTATTTGATCGACTTTGTTTTCCCCTATATCTAATATTCTACTGTGTAATCTTTGCTCAATAGTTACAAAGTGATGTTTTTCCCTTTGTACTGTATTTTGTAATTTGCTAGTGTACTGTTGATGGCTTGTTAAAAACACAGTGTGTTTAATTTTTCCCTTTTTGTTCAATCAACATTGTTACCTGGCAAAGCCAATGTTAAATTTTCAAATGAGTTGTGTAGAGAAAAACAAATGAGTGGCTGTCACGAATCACGTTTTTAGGACTAAAAGTCCCTAATTCCAAAATTTAGTCATAATCATTTGCTGGATTTCGAAATTTAAATTACAGACAAAGACAGATATAGCTCGTAGAATAAGATATCTCTCGTTGCAGGTTGATCACTCTTACAGCTGAAAGTTTTCTAAACTTACAGGAATAACGTTTCAGTAATATACATATTATACCGATTTGATTGAGAATTTTTTTTGCCAATTTTAAACATCAGTTATAACATGTTACAGTTACAACAATTTAATGCCAGATTTTAAATTATTTGCAATTGGGTCGGATTAATCACAATTTTCAAAATCTTTAGAGAATCTTAATCATCCATCCGAAATTGGAGAAGTGGTTTCCCAACTTGACCAGGGCCAGCTGGGTATAACCCAACAACCATACACAAAAATAATTAAATATAGACTGTCAGCTGTGCTGTGGTTACCATAGGTTCTGGCACACACCGCTGGAAGCGCCATGTATGTAGTTAAGGTGCTCTACAAATACATGGCGCTCCCAGCGGTGTGCACCAGAACCTATAGTAACCACAGCACAGCTGACAGTCTATATTTAATTCTTTTTGTCTATGGTATAGCAGAATGGATGCATTGATGCCAAATGATTTTGAAGTAGGTAGCTAAATGGATCCTGAGACAGTCAGTATAGCTTTTTAATGGTTCGAAATGCCCAGCACTGTGCTTAATCATTGGGACTTAAATAATAGATAAATGAATAGGTACCCATAAAGAATCAGCAGGAATTAATCAGTAATACACCTACATACCTGTCACCTAGAGGTGGCGTTGCTTTCTCAAAATTAGGATAAAACCAAAACTAATATTCTGCTGAGGTAACATGAACAGACTCGTGTTGTAAGCAAGGCTGTGGCACGTGTGTTGAGGGATTAATAAATAACTGTCAGATCGGGTTTATTTGCTCTGTATATCTTCTGATAACCAGATGCTAGCTACTGGAACACATTCCAGCACTCCCTGCCTTCTACCAGCTGCCAAATCTAACACATTCACATTTATGCATTCAATTTACACCTGCAGATGATGTAAACTGAGCCAGAGAGCCTCCATTTTTATTAAATTTAAATACAATTTCTTATCATACACAACTGATTTTTGGGCGTACTTTTTGGTAATTTAGTTATGGCTTTACCTTATTGTATAAAACTTTGTATTTAGACAAGGTATTGTTTTTAAAATCTCCCATTGCCATGTTGTAGAGGTAGATACCGGTATGCAAATATTTAAATAACACTTACTAACTTTAAATATAAAAAAATACTGGATTTACTGGCTTAACTTTGATTAGTCACCTTGTATTTTAATAAAATGTCTTAATATATATGTGCAACGGCTTTTGTTGATACATATTTTTACAAAGTTAATTACTATCTTTATGGAAAAATATTGATTCTGTCCTATACTAGTTTTCATATAAGAATTGATTGTTACTACAAATACTAAGCAATTAAAGTTTTAAATATAAAAGGGTTAGAGTGAATACTTCTTTCACAAGGGTATGCACATTTTTTGTTCATGCTACAAAAGAAACAAAACTTACATGATCTTATGTTCATAGGGAATTTTTTGCCATAAGCGAGAATATATTGAAAGATAATTATATACGCACTACACACACATGTAAGCTTTGTCCACAGGAATTGTTTGTAGGCTATCTAACATTAATGCTAAACATTTGAATTGTTTACCAATCATGACGTACAGTTCTTTACATTTTGATAGAGCACGTCTGCACATGTACCTTAAACCCTAAACTCTATTGTCTCTGTTACACTGGTTTATTTACTTATTAATGATATTTATTACTTTTTAATGATATTTAAAATGTTACAGCTATATTTTGTTACATTAAAATTTTGTAGATATTGAGAAAGCACATGAACAATTACCCTAAGTTTATTCAAGTTGTTTGTCGCAGGTATATGTTCTGTGGGTAATCATAACCCAGAGTCCCTCCTACTGTTGGTGATTGCCCCGAGCTTCACCTGCCTCGTGCTGGGGGCCTCCATGCTGCTACTCACCCTCATGTCTCGACAGGGCGGTTGGTCATCTCATCGTACACTACTCGCCACCCTCTACATCCTCCCCTCCGCAGCCACTGTTGCCAGTCACCTCTACCAGTACTGCCAACACGACGACTGGGTGCTCGCTCTCCCCCCCTCCCCTACTCCTCGGACACAGCCGCACGCTAACCTCTACGTGTTCCTTCTACGATCTATCTTGTCTCTCTCGGTCGGCACTGTTCTATCGATCTGGCTGTGTTTGCCCAAGTCAGTGACCACTTTGAAAACCGTGTTCTGTCCGGAGACTCACAAAAAGCCAGCTATAACACCGGCCAGCCACGGTTTTTATTATTACCAACAGCCTGTGAAAGTACAGAGGTGTCATAGGAAACACAAAGGGAAAAATGGGGGCGAAACTTTAGTTTGAAATAGTCAATATTTTGTATTATATTGTTTATAAGACTGATATTGTAAAAAGTGTATAATTTATATTTTTCTAGCTGGGTAAGTTTTACAATTAATTGGTTTCATGACACAGCATTGATGGTGATAGATGAAAATGTTAGTATACATGTGGCAAATTGGTAAGGTTGGAGGCTAACAAAAAACTCATACAGTATGTGAATGTTGATCATACATATTTTAAATGTGATTTGAGCATTTCCTACAGGTTGTTCGTGTTTATGGGCAGTACAAATAGTGTTGACCTGATCAGACAAAATTTGCTCTAAAAACACATTTAGGTATGGTTACTGGGTAGAAAAAGTAGGATATAGAACAATAAACATCAAAATAATTGTTTCAAAAGGTAGTTTTAAAGGTAGCTTCTACCATTGGCTATTGGATACTGATAAATACATCACATCTAGCATATTTGGATGAGCTGTTGACAATGTTTTAAAAAAGAACATAGTTGTGTGAGCCAGCCACAGAATAGGCTAGTGTGTAAAATTCTACTGTCCACCTTATTTTGTGTTGCTGACGAAGGTGAGGGTTCATATCAGTAGCTATAGCTCACAATAAGTTATCAATTATCAATTCATCGAGACAGGGACGCGACCTATGTGCGCATTTTCACCCCAAAATGAGTGAAGGATAAGTGTAGAATGGTAGGATATGATCTGTGTAGCTTTGCTACTGACTAAGGTCTTTTTAATCAGTCAGAATCATTCATTTAAAGCCAAATGATCAGGAACCGCTGGGTCCAGATTCAGATCATCAAAAAGCTACTGACTTCTCAGTAGCTATTTGATAGTTAGAAATTAATTCCATTAGTTCGACTTGGTAAAAAGGTTTGTGTAGTCACCAGAAATTCTGTTGGTGGCTCACATCAGCTATGGTGATTTTGATCAAAGAACTGGGAAAAAGTTAGGCTGTTAAACCTAGGTATTTTTTCCAAGATACTGTTTAAAAATGTCTAATTCAATTTCCGTAATCAATAATAGGCCTACTAAAAACTACTATTCCACACACATAATGTATTACATGTATCCTGATTTTTTTAAAATTGTTCTTGATATCTTCATTTATTGATAACTGTTTTGAGGTACTATTACAAAATACAAAGAGTAACATTATTTTTAATTTTGTTCAATAAATAATAATTAACTAATTTTAATTTTAAATCTTATTATATAAACATTATTTTTATTTATTTTACAATAGCACTGGAGTATGTATGTTGTTTGAGTTTTGTGTTCCTCTCTTTTAATATCAAAATCAAATAAGTACCATATCTAGAGAAAAACTGATTACTCAACTAAATTGTTAACAACAAAATAAAAAGCTTTTAACAAAATAAATAGTTTAAAAAAATTGCAAGTCATATATTTGAGTTGATTAATAACTATAAATACCTGTAAATATTTAAGTTATGTTAAATGTAATTTAATTTCAATGCGAGATTGGTGCTTTATTAATGTGATATTTTACATGATATTTTTAATAAGACTAATAAAATATCTCAATATGATGTGGTTGTTTATACGAAACCTTCAACGATGTCTTCTTTTAAGAGGTTATTCACCTTTTTAAACATTCCATTTTTTTCCACAATGACCTAAACCAGTGCAAGGCATAGCAAAAAAATACCCACCTGCAGCAAATCCTACAGACTAAGCACATTTCAATTTGTCTGATTGGATTTTTACTAAAATATTAACAAGTATTTTACTAAGGTTTGCTGCTACGAAGCAAGAAAAAAGAGATTTTTGATCAAAAGTTAATAGTAAATAAACAAATTTGTTAAAATTGATCAAAATATATCCATAAACAAGCAAAATACAACAGTTTTCTATTTCTTGCTCTTTGTAATTTTTATACAAAATTATTTTTAGCTCTACACAATGGCTGTGTCGCGTAGATTTGCAAACTGACCTTACATTTACATTTTTGGAAAAGTCCGTTGGGCTCAGCCCCAGTGGCTGTTTAAGTCCCCATGTTATCCTTATGAAGAACATAATTGTTTACATTTTGATCAGCTGTATAATTTAATTGCTGTTATTTATTTTTCAATTCAACGTATTTTAAACACATCAGAAATTATGATGACTTTTATTTGTTTTTAAATAACTACTTTACTTCTTTGCAATTGCTCTATTCCGAGCAACGTGTTTACTAGTTATAATAATCATGTAGACATAATATATATACAAATACAAAAATATAGTTCATCAAATGGACAAAAAGTAACTTTACGACCCTTACTCATTTACCGACCTCGGTTTTGCCTCCGTTGTGAAACTTGTAGACTCACTTTAGAACTTAGTCACTAAGTAAATATCCTTCAAAAACACAATCTCTACCAGGTTGACACAATTTCACACTTATTTCCCAATAATTTTCTTCTCAAATCGATCAAAGATATGGGTAGGAAAAGTTGAACAATCACAAAACATTGTATGATATGATTTGCCAACATTTATTTTAGATCTATATTCCTTTACCTGTATTGACTTTCCAAAACTATAATTTACACTATCACACAAACACCACTCTATCCTTAGTTTTCGTGGAAGCGCATTTGTAAAATATATTTTCTATGTATTTGAACACTTGGCTTGCTGGTAGTGAAGCATCCACTTTGTGATGAAGACCTAGAAAAAATTATTTATTAGTTAACTTCTGAAGCAAAATTTGATATTGTTTATACTTAAGTTAACTGCAGAATCTGAGCCTTTTTCTAGCTTAAAATATGGTTAAATATGAATTAAAATAAGAAAAAAAGCTTACATTAAAATGTCTTGTCAACTTCAAAGACTATATCTTTGAAAACCTTCCTTTAGTTTGAAATCAAATGAAGAGTGTAGCAACTCCAAAAAAAAGCAAGGCTGGCGACTTTCATAATGGTCTTAGCTGTCACATAAGATTTTTCAAGTACTCCCAAAAATACTAGCTAACGTAAATTCCATTTTGAAGTGAGGTTTAGTTGGGTTGGATTATACTATATTCTTACTAAATTCAAGTCGCAGACTTATAGCAAGGTGTTGGTGTCTGGTGGAGATGAGAATAGTGTACAAGGGACAGTTGTGTCGGTGTTGTGGTGAATTTGGGTAGAGACACGCTAGCTGTGAGTGACGACTTTCCTTTTATTTTGGCAACAGTGCTGTACAATAATATCTATAGAATTATTCCCTGATTTTATTACAATGGTTAGAGTTAAACCCCTGCTGGTTTAAGCCTGACGGTAGCTGGATTTACTGGTGTCAGAAATAATACTAAAGTATATTCCTGACAGTTCCAAGCAAGCACCAAAAATATGTTTATTGTCTTTGATAATTATTGTATTGGTTTGTACCACAAGTTAACTGTTTTACTGGTAACTCTGAGGCAGGACGAACCTAGGCCACAGAAATTGGCGTGCGTTGTCGACCGAACGTGGCCAGTAGCTAAATTTGTTGGCTGACTCATTAGAAACCCAGCTAATTAATATCACCTTGATAGTAGTAGTGTTTTACTGTTTTATTGGTTAATTGTTTATGATTTTAATTTAACCTGAGCAGCTTGTTTGTTGATCCAACACATTATCTTGATAGCTTGTTGGGCCCGGCTTTTGGCCTAGTGGTTCCCTTACGCATACCCTGGAAGTTTACCCAGCCATTGTAGGCTGAGCTATCCTTGGCAAACAGTTGCGATTGCAATCTAATATTTATTCCAGTGCAGGAAAAGTGTCTTGCAAACTTTTCTAAAACCAATTTTAATGTAAGGAATAGCAGGTGGTAGCTAGCACAATCAGAAGACGGTTACACATTTTACTCTACTAAAATTAATTGTGTGTTAAAGTAATTCAAATGATATTCATTACAACCACCAAAGAGAAAAGACTGCTATGTTTAGACCGGATTTATTTCTAAAACGATTCCTAGTGCAAATACTTGTAACAGTATAGTTACCTTTCTGATTGTAATAGCTCACTAGAGGTTTAGTTTGCTTATGATATGCTTCTAATCTTTTTTTCAAAGCTTCAACATTATCATCTGACCGACGAATGAGCGGTTCACCAGTAACCTGAAACATTGAGATAAAGTCAATCAACAAATTATCCTGATTCAATCCCTTATTTATATCAATGTAATAATGTAAATCTGTCAAGTTTTTATATATTAATGTCCATTTTTTTTTTTTTTTTTTTTTTTTTTTTTGTCCTAGGACGCTAGGCACAAGCCCAGAATTGTTTTTCACATTACTTCAGGCTAGACCAAGGGGTTATGGCAATATCACTTAGATAAAATCCATTGGTGTTTTGGCGGGGTTTGAACTCGGGACTCCAGGAACCGGAAACCACTAGACCAGCTCGCTCCCCCATATATATTATATTAATGCCCAATCAACAAATTTTTTCTTCATTTAAATGGTACAATTATCTACAAATCCCGTTTAGGGTTCGGTTTAAACCCAGGCATAACCTAAGCCTTAGATTGTATTTATGCATGCAGTTTATATTGTGATAGAGAATTTACATTTTCTATCGAGATTGGCCAATCTATGGAATCGCCCAGAAGCTGTCCCTAGACAATAACACAACAACTGCAAATCACACAGGTAAAAAAATAACCAGGTTTTGACTCCACATAGTTCAGAAACCACTTGGACTCATACAGAACCACACTCACCTTGTCTGTTGCTTAGTTAAATCAAATCAAATCAAACCAAAATCATTTTTATTTCAGTAAGTAAATACATTGTTACAATACTTTGTCAGTAACAATTTTATAGTTATGCAATGGTTATAATAATATACTGACATCAGGCCCGTTTTTGACCCTGTCAGCGCCCTAGGCACATCTAATAGTAGCGCCCCTTTGCAATATATATATAACAGGGTGTCCACCGACCGGGAAATCCGGGAATCATGCGAGAGATTTTTGAACCGTGAATTTTGTTTTTCTACCTGGAGTTTTCAATTTACCGTGATCGCGCATGACAAAAGTGACGTTTCCGTGATCGCGGGAGATGATAATATGTCTACACAAGGCCGCGAGGGATGATCAGAATTTTCCGCGATCGCAGAAGACGATGATGGTATCTACAGAGCCGCAACGGAAAATCAGAGTATTGCCGCGATCACGGAAGACGATGATAATGTCCACACGACCGCGGGAAAAGATCAGAATTCTGCCGCGATCGTAGAAGACGATGATGATCTCCACACGACTGGAGGACATTATTAACATTTTACCGCAATCGCGGGAGACGATTACGATGTCTTCACAACTGCGGGAAACGATTACGATGTCTACAGGACCGCGGAATACAATAATGATTTCTACACGGCCACGAGGGATGATCACAATAATGCCGCGATCGCTCAAGACGATGATAATGTCCACATGGCCGCGGGAAAGGATCAGGATTTTGCCTCATTCGCCAAAGACGATTATCCCCATATGTCCGCGGGAGATAATTACCATTTTGCCGCAATCGCGGGAGGCGATCACTATGTCCGTTGACCAACGGGGACGATATAATGATGTCTTCACGGCCGCGAGGGGTGATCAGAATTTGATGACAATCGCGCAAGACGATTATTATGGCCACAAGATCGCGGGAAAAGGTCAAAATGTTGCCACAAGACTGAGGGAGATGTTTACCGTTTTTCCACAATCGCGGGAGGTGATTACTATGTCCATACGACCGTAGGGGACGATATGGTGTCTTCACGACCGCGAGGGGTGGTCAGAATTTGACCGCGATCGCGCAAGACGAGGATAATGTCCTCACGACCGCGGGAAAATAACAGAATATTGCCTCATTTGCGGTAGACGATGATAATCTCCTCACGACCGCTGGATATCCTTATGTATTGCCTCGATCATGGAAGACGATAATTATGTCTAAACGACCCGACCACGGAAAATAGTAAGAATCTTGCCGCAAACGCGGGAGACGATTATGATGCCTACACGGCCGCGAGGGGTTATCAGAATTTTACCGCGATTTTACCACGATTTTTTTTATTTCCAAATTTTGGCGCCCCCAAAAAAAGCCTATTGTCTCGCGCCCTAGGCACGTGCCTACCGTGCCTATTCGGTAAATCGGCCCTGACTGACATAGTAATTAAATATGAAATGCCTCTCACATAGGCTACTGCCCGTGCGTGAGAGATTTTCCGCTATCAGGAAATTAATATTAGAAATTGGAAAAAATAGATATTTATGAAACATGACATGACAGTTCATTGGTAATACTTTTATTGAAAGAAAAAACCAATTTAAGAATAACTACAATAAAAATATATATTTAAAAATACCAGTAAGACAGTTTTCTTATTTGGATAATTATTGCAACTTGGACTAATTAAGTCCAGACAAAATGAGACTTTACCTTCATAACAATCATATTCGTCATATATCGTTAACAATCATATTCGTCAAGTGGTCTGTATATACATACATAAAGTTGTTAATGCTCTATGTTCCTTAACTAATTAGAATTTTTTTCATAGAAAATAAGTAGTTTTACATTTATCCATTTGTTTTAGTTCTTTCTGATGTTTAAAACTTATTTGATTCAGAAAAAAGTGTGGTAGCATATCAAGGATATAAAGTCATATAAAGTCAAGGTCGGAATAATAAAGAACCCCCTACAATGCAAGGTTGCAAGTAAGCTGGTCTAGTGATTGAACACAGGGCGGTACTTTTCTGTTAAGGGGAACATTCATTATTATCGATGATTTCTTTTCGATATATCCATATTTTTGTTTTCCTTTACGATTCATATCCCATATGTTTTAATATCTTCAAACACATTTAAATTACAGACAGACAGACAAACAGACAAACAGACATATCAAATATGTCTAAGTTATACTCGGTTCAATAACCGAGTTATTGAGTTATAGCTCGTATTAGAGAATAGGATTAAGAACTAATCTGGTTTAGGCAAAAATAATAGCCTATATATTGGATTAACAAATGAAACTATTCCAAACTAAGCTAACACAATTAACCAAACTTGTTGTATGCTTAGTTACCGTATCAAATTTCCGTTTGATAACAGAAAAGGCATTTGTGGAATAGGCTATTAAACGGAATTTTGAAATGTTACAGCAAGTTTGGTTAGTTAGGTTATAATGATGTTCTTTGGTCCAGGGTCACTTCTTCAATATTAAAAAGGTATAAGATTACCTGTTTCCGTCTATGATCCTAAATTTGTAGTAATGAGCAACCTGTTTCGAGGTTATAACCTCATCATCAGGCTCTTGTTGTCACTCTTGCGAGGTTGTCGAGTTTTATAAACACACAAAACACTGGCATTTAATAGTTAGGTTAGTTTAGAACAGTTTCATTTGAATATAATATTTTTTTATTGTTTGTTGATACTGAACAATATTTATTTATCGTAGCTATCAGCTGATAAGTTTCAATTTGTTAATATCAATATATCGAATAAAAAAATAAAATATCGAAAAGAAATCATCCTACTAATATTATAAATGAGAAAGTTTGTATGGATGGATGTATGTTTGTGACAAGTGAACGCGAAAAATACTGGTCGGATTGGGCTGAAATTTGGCATGATGATAGCTCACATTCCCGATTAACATATAGGCATATTCTTATTTCAAAAATCCTTTCGGGCTCCGCCCCAGTGGCTCTGGAGTTTCCCATGTTAACCTTATGAGAAATGGAATTATTGAATCTTAACAGCTTTTTCAATTAAACAAGTTGGTTCTGTTCTATGATGTTCAATAGCATTAAAGTTACAAGGATTACCAACAGGGTGCAGCACTATTATTTCTTTTACATTTATGACAACAGCTAATTTACAACCAAAAGGTGAGTGAGCGTAGCGAACGAACTTCAACCTGGAGGCGAGTTGGCGTAGCGAACGAGCTAACCTGAAGGCAAGTGAGCGCAGCGAACGAGCTCCAACCTAAAGGTGAGTGAGCGTAGCGAACGAGCTCCAACCTAAAGGTGAGTGAGCGTAGCGAACAAACTTCAACCAGGACGTGATTGAGCCATGCGAACGAGATAATCTTGAAAATTAAGAAAAATTAATGATCCCTTTAACAGGAAAGTACCCACGGGGCTTTGGTTCCCGACATTACGTGTTCAGGGTGTCTACTACATTCTGGATAAAAAATTCATGGACAATTCCCGTACATTTAAGGACACTTTGCCGTAACCTTTGTCGGTGTCATTAGGCCTACCGAATAATTTTCCTGATTTGTCAAACTGTATTAATCTTGTTATTCACTGTAGTTGTAAATTTATTGAAAGTAAACAAACATAGGCCTACCTATACTTTAGGTAAAGCTTTTATAGTGTAACAGAGAAACGCAATCATTGTCTCCTGCGATAGCGACAAATATCTCCATCCGTCACGTAAACTTCATAACATAGCTTATCCGATCCAGGCGGATTAATTTGGCATGATTCGCCCTGGCACAACGTTAGGTTCTTGACTACTTTTGAAAAAAAATCTTTAATGCATATTGTTACTCAATTCTTAGTACAAAATCAAGGTATTAATAAGCAATAAGCACAGAGTAAGATTATTGTATTTTCATTTGTAAAGTTAATATCGACTATAGCAATCATTAGTTGTTTATCTTAGGCTCAATTACATTTTCTTAATATATTTTACAGCTCTTTCAAGAATCAAAATACCCAGGCCTAAACCTAATTATTTAGGAGGGCCTATATAAACTGAGTAACAAACAATGAGGTTAGCAGCAAAGTTACTGTCATTATTCTAGTTCATAAGATTTTGATTGCTTAAAGCATACAACTCAATAAATAAATATATGGGAAACAAAAAACATTGAAACCTAAATAGCCAACAATATAAGACAAAGATACAGAAAATGCAATGACATAATTTGAAACCAAGCAGGCCTACATAGTGATAAAACATTAATGCTTGTGGTTTTGTCAATTGAAAGATAAAATATGTCCATAAAAAAGGGGTTAACTTACATAATAAGAATGTAGATTATTTACATGTTTAATATGAAACCATAAACAGTTTTATGGCACTAGGCACTGGCCGCGGCAAATTGAACCGAAAGTACAAGTAAGAAGTGAAATTTAACAGCCATTATAAAGCTATTATTTTCACGATAAAATAGGTTTGGGATCTAATAATAATTACCCTAGTAATAAAAAAAGAAGTTGTAAAGGAATCAAAGTGATACAACTTTTATGAGCTAGCTGCTGAGTCAACAGTTCTTGGAAGTACTTGACTTCACACTTGATTGTCGTGATAAAATATTAGTGGGTTTGAGATTGTTAATGGGATTTTTATTGCATAATTACTCTAGTAATAAATTATGAAAATGTAAACAAACATCTGATAAACTTTTTATGTGCTCCTAAACAACTAGCGATCAATAAAATTATGGCCCATTAAAAATTTAAGGACATTGTCTGGCATTTAAGGACAATTCCCGTACATTTCATGGTCAGTAAAAATTTAAGTACAATTCCCGGTTTTCCCGGTTGGTAGACACCCTGGGTTGAATCCCCTAGCCACACCCTATCGGATCTTGAATTGATTTCCAGAGATTATTGGCTCTCTAGGCATAGCCTTGAGTTAAGTGAAGTGTACGAATGTTCTAGGCTAGCACCTGTGTCCTAGAACTTAAAGGTAGGATATTGAAAAAAACTGAAATGTGAGGCTAAAAAACTGTACGCACATCGTCAGTCATGGGTTTCTTGGGAGGATGGAACTCCTCGTGGTACGACCGCCCGCTGGATGGATGGATGAGTCTTCCGGTGATCCTTCGGACTAGAAGACTATCTGCGATGCTGAACTCTACGACAGCCTCCAGCGCAGACTTGCGACGAGCCAGTAACTCATCCAGCTGAAGAAGAAAAACTAAGCTATAACTTATTTTTTTAAACATTCAGAAACCGACAGCATTTTCCCTATAATGGCAAATTTGCTAAAATCTTACTAATATTATAAAATTGTGAATGTTTGTGTGTTTGTTTGAAGTTCAATCACGCAATAACTACTGGACGGTTTGGGCTGAAATTTGGCATGATGATAGCTCACATTCCCGGTTTAATTTGATTGATTATCCATACAGATAATCGCGAAGGAACCTCTCCATGTCAACCTAATTTAAAAAAAAGCATGGAAATGCCACCTAGTAGCAATGATTGAATCATTACTTTTTTTGAACGACCCAATAACAAACATATGTTGCTCTCGTGACCACTGCTCTATGACTACGGATACTGGCATCGTGTAGGCTTTCCATTGAGCCTACCCCTACCACCCTCAGACGACATGTCGCTAAACAGTGTGTTGTAGAAAATAGATTGGGTTTTTTGCCTCACCCTGTAGAAACACACCGTCAGTTTCTCAATTTAACTACTGAACCATACCGTACATAGTTAAAGTTAAAAACTTATTTAAAGTTAAAAAGTTTAGCCTACTAATCAACAAGTACATATTAGTATATGAGAGTTTGCTACTGATAATTTATAATCATAGATATTTCTAGGAAGATTGGGATTATATGTTACCTTGTTAAAAAAAACAAATATTGGAAAAATAATAGTGACTTAGTGTTTTAGTGAATTTCCCATAATAGGGAATAAGCTATTACCGTAGTACTCATGGAAAGACCTGGACCCAAGATCAATTTAATTTTTCGTTTTAAGGTCCCTAGAAGCAAAAAACACCCTCCGTTCAAATTCATATATATGTATGTATGTGTTTTCGTTAAGCGCGATAACCCAAACATTTTGATTTTAAAAATTTGGTAGAAACGTTTAGTTTAAACATACATTTATTCGAACGAGTTCACAAACCAGCATGATCAGACTATGGTAACGGGGGTTTATGGGTAAAAATTGGTTTTTCCCATTTTCGACTCTAAAAAAAAATCTCAATTTCTTTCTAGACCATTTTGTAGAGCTTAAAAAAGGAAATAATGTTGTTTATTGAAGCATTATTGTTTTTTTTAACAGTTACAGAGATGATTTTAAAAAATCTTTAAATTTAAAATTCCCATGTTATTCTTACGAAGAATAAATAAACTGTTGTGATTTGCTTGTTTATAGTATATTTTATTAAAATTTGAATTTTGAAATTTTGGTTAGGCCTATTTCGTACTAAGCTATCAACATTTCAATAAAAACACACCACAATACCTTCCCTGTAGCAGCAAACCTAGGTACCAATTAAAATAATGATATTTAAATAGGAAATAAATCTGACAATTTTCAGGGAATATTTTAATACAAATCCAGCCAAGTATGGAAATTTGCTTGGTCTGCAGGTTTGCGAGGGTATTTTTAAATTGTATTCAGTTTGACAAAATATAATGGTCATGATAACAATTTATCATTATTGAGCTCATTTGAATTTTGATAAACTCACAATTTTGTTAGGCCTTACAATTAAATTTTGATACAAATCTGTGATGATGCTAGCTGTAATTTTCTTGAATACTTAGGAGGTCACGATTATTGGTTCCTAATTTAAAAGCCCACATTGGATGGACAGAAAAGACTAGGTAGGTACCGGTAGTTTAATTTTGTAAATAAATATGATAGTAATAGGTACAGTAGACTCCCTCTTATCCGGACTCCTTGAGATCGAGGCCAGTCCAGATAACGGGTTTTCCGGTTATACCGACGTCCCCAAAAACTCGTTAAAACGGACCGTTTACTGTGATATTCAACTTAAATTTAGGAGATCATTGTATTTAGACACGTGATGACTGGTCTTAAATCTTTCCCATGAGAACAGTTGTTTCAGTACCGCCCACTTCCTGCCAATCTAGCCCGGTTAAACCAATGTGCTGATAAAAATTGTCCAGTTAAAAAGATGTCATTTCCGCCTAATGTAGTCCGGTTAAACCGATGTCCGGTTAAAAGGTGTTTGGATAAGAGGGAGTCTACTGTAAGTGGGAAAAAATATTTGTTCAAAAAGGTTTTCTAGGTCATTACAGTACAATTTTACGTGTAATGGAATTCTGTATTTATTTAGAGCCATAAATCTCTCAACTGAAAATAAAGGTTAAAGATTGCTCCCTTATCTAATTGGTGAGGGTCAATATTTTTATCAGTAGGCTATGATGTAATGAATGATAAGTACTGATAAAACACATTTAACATTTGGCGACTGTTAAATATGATTTAAAATGAAAGAGATACCAAGTTGATAAAATTAAAAAAATGAACGGATATTACACAATTTGAGGTAGCCAATTACAAATTTTAATACATTTACTTGTTACAGTATAAAGATTGATTGTTACTCTCTATCAGAGTATGACAGTTACGCTACTATGCAATTTAACCTACAAAAAACTTTTTGTCTAATAGTTTGGATACGAAAAGTAAAAATTTGTATTGATTGGTTGTCGTAGTTTTTGTCTCCGTTTTATTGAATTTTGCCTCCTCATTGCATTTAAATCATTGACTACTGGAAACTGAAGTTGTATAAATAGTCCAAGATTTACAACAAATTTTTGTTTACAAGCATTTTTGAATGATTATTTATTGTATTCAACCTTAGGCTACAAAAACAGACTGGAGCTGACATAAAATAAATAACTTGATTCATTTAAACCAACCTAAACTTTACTTTCCTATACAGTCACGAATCAGCATTAAGTCTGACCTACCTGCCTCATAGGCCTAAATAAGAACAAAATAATTTGCAATGATCAATCATAATTTGTACCATGCCTTCGACGTTTGGTAATCTTTGCACCCCAAACCACAATTCAAACAACTTTATAATCCTCAAATTCATACTATTTTATCTTCCCTACTTTTTAGCGAATTTCCCATATAGGGAATAAGCTATTACCGTAGTACTCATGGTAAGACCTGGACCCGGGACCGATTTTTTTTTCGTTTTGAGGTCCCTAGAGGCCAAAAACACCATCCGTTCGAATTCATATATATATATATATATATATTTATATATATATATATATATATGTGTCCGTTAGCGCGATAACTTGAGCAAAAATGATCCGATTTTGATGAAATTTGGTACAAATGTGTAAAACTACGTTTATTCGAACGAGTTCGCGAACCAGCATGATCGGACCATGGGAACGGGGGTTTATGGGGTAAAAATGGGTTTTTCCCATTTTTGACCCAAAAAACATAAAATTTTGCAATTTCTTTCTAAACTATTTTGTAGAGCTTAAAAAAACAAATAATTTAGTATACTGAAGCGTTATAATGCGCCTAATGGTTACGGAGAAAATTCCAAAAAATTGTAAATTTAAAATTCCCGATGTTATTCTTATGGAGAATAAGTAAACTGTTGTAGTTTGCTTGTTTAATATCATATTTTGCCCAAATTTGGAAATTGTTTTTATTTCTTACTAACTATTAACATTTTACATAAAAACACTTTTACCCTCCCTGTTGCAGCAAACCTAAGTATGTTTTAAACTGATTCTATTTAAATAGGGAATAATAATGTGATATTTTTAAGGAGACATTTTAGTGTAAATCCATTCAGGGAAATGGAAATTCGCTTAGTCTGCAGGTTTGCTGCGGCGGGGGTATTTACACTAATGACTTTTTCTGTTAAAAACTGATTGCATTTTCGGATTCAGCACAACAAATAGCCTACAGTACCGTACCAGTAAGACACATTATTATAACATTTTTAATTGGTGAAAATATCCTTTGCCATTCTAGAGAGATTAATCCTAGAATACCAATCCCCCACATTCCACTTCAAATGGGGTCCATCACTAATTCTTAGAGCTCGTATGAAATTGTAAAGATGTGATTGTAATCAATGATTTATTTCAGTGAATGAATAGTTACATACCTTTTCAGCTTGAGGTACAGTACGAGGAAACCCATCGAGTAGGAATCCATTCTCACACTCGGGCCTGTCTAGGTGGCTGTCAATCAAACTAACCACCAGATCATCACTCACCAACTTGCCTACAAAATATCATATAGTTAGTAGGCCTAATATACTGGCAATATACAAATACAAATGTAATTACTTATAGGATACCGGATTTAAAGACTACATTTGTTGGACAGTAGTCTATTTGTATTATAATATAAAATTGGCTTATTTATCAGTTGATACTAATAAGACTAACTTAGTGGTCATCCTACAGGATGTTGAAATGACAGGACTCTCCTGATCTATTCCAATAAGGTGTTCTACATTTGAGTGTAAAACATGGATAGGAGTCCTAAGCCAAGCCGTCTGTTACATGATTAAGTGATCAACACTTGTATTTATAATTATTATACAAACATTTTAAATTTACAAGGATATTATGATACATTTAACTCTGCATCTGGCAGCTACAAATCTCTGTGCTAGCAGGCCTTTTTTTACTGTATGTACAAAAATTACTTTAGAGTTGAATAAATTGTGTTCTCTACCATACAAAAGTATATAGCCTTAGGTCCTCTAATTATATACTACTAGTGCACCTGTTGCTTGAATTTGAGCAATTGCAAAGTATTACAGTCGTGATATCAAAACCATCATAATTTACTATGTAAAAGAGTCAACTCCAAGATAATGTAATCAATCACTACACTCCAGTTATCGAAACTGAAAATGAACTCACTCTGAAGATGAACGCTCTTGCAAGTATCATGTGTTTACTATGAACACTGAACAGCTGTAATTAATTCAAATTATCCGTCTATTTAAGTAAACAAAATCTTTTCTTCATAAGAAATACATTGGGATTTTGATGGCCTGTGGGGCAAAGTCCGAGGACTTTTATTACAGGAATCGGTGAAAGGGGGCGTCTACACAGAAAATACTTGATTTTGACACATCGTTTGTAAAAAATCTGTTCATTATTAACGGAGGAGTAGTGTTTCGTAGAAATCGCCTTCACGTATTATATAGGTAAGGATTTTATTTTTCAGGACATTAAAAGGTACAAATTTAAACCATTGACAGATACCTACAAAAAAATGTGTTTTACTGTTAACTTGTAAGAACAAAAAAAGAAAAAGAAAATGGGCCTGTAACATTTTTCCAAAGTAAGTTAGAGGCTTGGGAAGAACTGTATTATTTTAAATTATTGATTTATAATAAAAACAGAAGGATGTTTTTATTATAAATCCCAGATATAGGCTGCAAAACGTTTAAAATATTATTCTTCATAAGAAAAATAAATCATATTTATGGCAGTTTCATATAGGGCCTGCGATATATTACAGGATGAATAACGATAGGCCTACACATCAAAACTTTTTCCATTTGATAAATCAATTTAAATTTTTGTATTAGACTTTAAGCACCGATTTCAAAACTGTTTTGTTTATAATTTTATTAGGCCTACCTAATAAATATATAGGCCCTAACTAAAAATATAAAAACAAAAACACAATTTAAATTTATTAGCCTATATGAAAATTAACAAAAAACAATAACCAAAAAGTAAATTAACGACAAAATATTAACAAATATAAACTAAACTATCTCAAATTCACAGATTCTTCCATTTTTAGTATTAGCCTAAATACTTATTTTAGTGGAAACATGGAATAAAATTAATAAAAAATCGTAAATGTTATTGTTGTTGTTTTTATTTATATCATATGGTACAAATAAAATCATTACTATATTATTATCAAACCAGATTGAAATCGACATATTTCGGTAGCCTATATATCGTTAAAACTCATCCAATAATATATCGTAGTCCCTAACGGAACTACAGCCATATTTATTATTAATTTTATGTAAAAAATATAAGAAAGAATGTTACGTCACACTGCGCTAAACACGCAGTTGCATCATTCTATGTTTTTATTCACAACTTTCAAAATAAACGTTAGAATATCTTTTGTAAAATAATATACCTGTACATCAATATCTCTTGTGTAAAATGGTATGGACCTTAATGCAATATCTAATACAGTGATGTTTTCTATTGAAACTTAGCAGTTAAAGAAAGTTAATGCCCAAACAACTTAGTAGTGACTAACTTAGTCGTTTGCCATTGGAGCAAAAAATATCTCCACTGACAAACAAATTCATTGACAACACAGATTGTCAAAAACCAGTAAAATAAGTTAACCAAATCATGGGGTCAAAATTTTAAATGCTCTCCCAGAAAGTAAAACAAATAAAATATGCCTATCCAAAAACCTTTTTTAAACACTAAAAAGAATATCTAATCCAAAAACCATTTTACAAATTAGATATGACTTCTTCTAAGAGCACACTGCTCACCATAAAGACAGGTCCCAAAATGAACCCACAATACACCATTCACACACACACATAGGGTATACACCAAACACTACAACGAGACAACAAAGAAAATACCCCCGCCGCAGCCAACCTGCAGACTAAGCGAATTTCCATTTGACTGATTGAATTTACACTGAAATGTCTATTTAAAAAATAACATTTATTCCCGATTTAAATAGAATTAGTTTTAACAAGTACTTAGGTTTGCTGCATCAGGGAGGGTAAAACTGTTTTTTTTTGTAAAATGTTAATAGTTAGTAAGAAATAAAAACATTTTCCAAATTTGATCAAAATATGTTCATAAACAAGCAAACTACAACAGTTTACTTTATTCTCCATGAGAATAACATGGGAATTTTAATTTACAATTTTTTGGAATTTTCTATGTAACCATTAGGCGCATATCAGCGCTTCAATATACTAAATTATTTATTTTTTTAAGCTCTACAAAATGGTTTGGAAAGATAATGCTAAATTTTATGTTTTTTGGGTCAAAATGGGAAAAACCTATTTTTACCCCATAAAACCCCCCGTAAACCCCCGTACCCATGGTCCGATCATGCTGGATCGCGAACTCGTTCGAATAAACGTAGGTTTACACGTTTGTACCAAATTTCATCAAAATCGGATAATTTTTGCTCGAGTTATCGTGCTAACGGACACATATACAGGGTGACAAAAAAGTCTGGAAACGGTTTAATATCTTTTTAACTAAATCCGTTAGAAAATTCAAACCTTTCACATTAACTTACATGAATGAAAACTACTTTTTCCAAGCATTGTCATTTTTTTACCTCTACCAGGGGACGACCCATGAGAAGTAGGTACATAATCTTTAATGTAAGCATAGGTTGATATGCACATCATTTTAAAGGTCTGGTCAAGTGGAGTTCATTGCCGCAAACCGCGTCAAAAAAGGTTCATCCGTTACAAAATGGCAGCTGTTCAAAGTTCTTGTGAAATATACCTGCACAGGCTTTAGTATGGGCAAATACTCGTATTAAACATTAGCTTGAGAGCTTAAACTGTATTTTAAAGTCAACTAGCTCATAGACTAATAGTATTCAATCTTCAAAACAAATTTAACCGGGTTTCAGATTTCCCTACTAATGTTGACTATGAGTATCTACCAATACTGCCTCTGCAGGTATATTCCGCAAGAACTTTGGACTGCCACCATTTCGTAACGGATGAACCTTTTTTGACGCGGTTTCCGGCAATGAACTCCACTTGACCAGACCTTTGAAATGGTGTGCATATCAACCTATGCTTACATTAAAGATTATGTACCTACTCCTTGTGGGCCGTCCCCTGGGGGAGGTCAAATAATGGCAATGATTGCAAAAAGTAGTTTTCGTACATATAAGTTGATGTGAAAGATTTGAATTTTCTAACGAATTTAGTTAAAAAGATATTAAACCGTTTCCAGACTTTTTTGTCACCCTGTATATATATATATATAAATATATAAATATACATAGGCCATATATATGAATTTGAACGGATGGTGTTTTTGACCTCTAGGGACCACAAAACGAAGAAAAAAAATCGGTCCCGCGACCAGGTCTTACCATGAGTACTACGGTAATAGCTTATTCCCTATATGGGAAATTCGCTAAAAGAAGATGACGATTCTCTAGTCACTACGACTAAGGTGAAGAGGACCAAGGTAAAAGGTAAAAGGAGGAACTAGTTTTAGCGACTAGTAAACAGTCGTTTGCCAGATGCAGGGTTAAGTTACCTTCATCCATAACCTTCTTCAGTTTTTTCCCCAGTTCAGAACCAGACGCAACTTCAGCTCTTAACATATCCCCTGTTGATAAATGGCAGACACAAAATTTGTCTTTGAGCAGTGGAGCCTGAAAATCAAGTTCACAGACTATAACTTATGAGGCCTAACTAGACAGGCATGTAGTGTTCTAGGTATGTCGATATATCGAAAATATCGATGTTTTAGCCATCGATAGTAGGCATCCAATATATTTTTAGTACCGGTAACGACATTTTACTCCGATATTGCTACTAAGTTATCGATATTTCACTCCAATATTTTTGTTAATAGCGTATAAATTAGTATATATACTCCGATATGTATTTTTTACTATCATTTTGTTTTACTAAATAGGCTGTCAATGTTTTTCTCCGATAGCCCATTAATCGATATTTATATGTATCTTTTATATTTATATTTATATGTATCGGTATCTTTTTGACATCGATATATAAAGGCCGATATGACTATCGATACTAATATCGATGTCCCAACACTACAGGCATGTGGACTTAGAAAATTTAATAAAATAGGTATTGTTGACTATCAAAGGCTAACTGTAATTTCATGTCTGAGAACAAAATACGAACACTAACTTAATTACAAAGCCCTGAGAAATAAATAAAACAGAAAATCTTATATAGCCTACATTGAATCGCTAGTAAAAAGTAATATTAACTTACTTGAGTCCCTTTTCCCGATCCCGGTGGTCCCAATAAAACTGCTTTTATTCCAACAGGTTGTTCGTTCTCTTTCCCTCTAGGGACGGAGGAGGCTGAAGGGGCCATTTCTTAAATCTATCAGATCACCACTGTAAATCAAATTAACTTATTAAAGAACTATTATAAATATTGAGAAAATTATCAACAAGGGCACAGTTACAGAGTCATAACCTTTCGCGGGGGGGAAAGGTTAGGGAAAAGGAGTTGCAGTTGACTTTTGGGCTTTGGCATTGACGTTGGAGTTTTGGAGAGAGTGAGAAGAAAATTAGTGACATAGAGCTAAAATGTTCTGAATAGGATAGGCCACGGCCGTCTTTAGCTCCGCGCTCCGCGGCTAGGTGGTAGAAAGGTGACATCAGCTCATTAATTCGCATATTATTTATTAAAATTTACTAACAAAAATTTATTAAAATATTTAAAATAACATACAGAATTGAAAGCCAAAACAATATGAATTGAAAATCTAGATCTGTACATTTTAAGCGGAGTCAATATTTCCCGATATTTCCATAGTCCAAGCTTTTGTAAATAGTAAATACCCAAATTAATACAATTAGCTTCTTAAAAAAAAAAAAAAAAACAGCTGTTACAACCCTACTTGCGACGTGGCACTTTGAAGGCCGAGGCCGAGGCCTGGATTTAAAGGCGGCCGTGAATCTATCCAACTGCATCTTTTGCTCAAAGATGAAGGAATCAATTCAAGTAAGTATTCAGTTTTACTCTATGGGGTAGAATAGGAAATAGGACTTTTGTTTTTTGTTTGTTTATTTCTTTGAAGTTGTTTTGTTTTGTTTTGTTTGTTCTATGATATGTGATATGAGTTGTGTTATGTTAAGTTACAATACGAACGGTTGAAATAATTTCTTTAGTTTAAGTTTTCTGATTTTATCTTTAAACAAATCAGCATAGGATTTTGGTAAGTATTGTGTACCTAACCAGAAAATTTGGTAAATATTATTTCTCATCACGCCTTGTAAGTTAAGAATCAATATTTATTCCATTACTTAACCTAGTGCTAACTAGTTTTGAGAAAGTAAACCTTTCTCTATGAGAGCACAATTTGATAGCCTGAAGTGAATGTTTCTGTTTAATTTTGAATTGGATCCAAACAATTTAAAGTGTTATAAAATTTAAATTACGTGTTAGCTTATTATGTGTATTTCCTAGTGAAAATCTGTGGAGTTACATTTCTCGTCGAAAGTTATATTTCTGGCAAATACAGCCTAGGCCTAGTAGAAGTATTCATCCACATACTACAGTAAACTTATTTGGCAATAATTTAAGTTATTTAGCATAACATTCATTTTTATAGCTCCTGGATTTAGTAGGCCTAACTTATTTAAGTTATAATTTTTTAGGCTGACTTCTGTTAAGGTAAATTGCCCAAATACCGTGACCTTAAGAAATGTTCTCTTGAAATTGCACAATAACCTAAATGGCCTTATAACAAATAAAATTACGATGGGTAGACTTCCGTATCTGTTGGCACAAACAATCGAATGAATATGTCGATTATCCGATTGTTTCATTCGATATATCGTTTGGTTATTTAACTTAGGTTAGGTTAACCTTACCTAACTAACCAAACGATCGTTATATTGATCAATGTTTTCATTCGGTTGTTTGTGCCAACAGATATGGAAGTCTACCCTGTATTATGGCCAAAAAATGTATTTTCTACGTCCTATTAACACTCAATTTTCCTACTATTTCCTAGATCCTGTGATTCACGGGAAAAAATCTGTGATTTTTCAGCCAAAGTCTGTGATACAGCAATTTTGGAGCTAAAAGTTCCTAAAATGACCAGAAACTGTCAAATTTCTTATAAAAATATGAAAATATAACCTCAAACACCTAATTGTACCAGCAGATGTCGATGACAGATTTATTTATTTATTTCCAACGGACATCTCCATTTTACAGCTACACATCAAAACATTACAACTCAGAATGGCTTAATTAATAATAACAAATTTTGTGCTTATAGACTAGAAATAAAATCAACAATATAATAATGATCTAATACAAACTACAATAACAATGACAAACCTAGCCGAACAAGACAAAAACTGACAAAATAACAAAAGGTATACTAATAAATAAATAATTTAAACAACAACAATAAATAAATAATATGAAAACAATAACAACAAACCCACAAGCTAACAACCAATAACAACTAAAAAAGATAAATATGACTAATAAGTTATATATAAAATCAAATTGATTAGAGAGCAACGACAAACATATAGTTTAATGCAAAAACAACAGTGAATTTTTTACAGACAAGAAGTTTTGGATGGTAACAACGAAAACAATTTTTAATTAGACAGGTCAGAGACTTTGAAAGGGGAAAAAACTAAACATTAAGTGTTAAAGAGATAACTTTCTTTTTCAATGTAGTAACGCTGTCTTGAAAAAAGTCGACATGCCTTGTTACTTTGTTGCCAGCTCCCTGGACACGAACCATCGTGCTGTTGACTGAGTAGCTAGTGCGGTGCTGTTGCTTAATAAACAGATCAGTCGACCTTGTGTTGGAAGGAGTCTTGAAATGGATTTGTCGGAGTATGTCAGGACAGTCGACTCTTCCGTTGATAATCTTGTGCAGCAGATCATCAGATGAAATTATGATGTGTGTAAAGAGTAAGAAGAAAGATCATCAGGACCATAGAGGCTACACTCCAATAAACATATATTTTGTTAAGTTATTAAATTAACTTAGCCTAACTTACTGTCGGTCTCATGGTAAGACTTAGACCCGGGACCGATTTACTTGGGTACAGTTTCGCAGAAAACATACAATATATTAATACTTAGGGGGGCCTAATGAAGTAGGCCTATCAAGTTAGTTTGATTAAATCTTTATTTAAATAGGCTTGATGTGGTATTCCCAGATTCAAGAACAAATAATTAATTATGTTGTTTACATACCTTTTGTTGCCAGGTTCTTGATGAAATAATAATGTTAAGCTCTATGTACATTTCGCCACAAGTGTGGCATCCTCAGGAGCTGTGTATGGTTTCTTCTTACATCACTATCACTTAGTCACTAAAAATGGCAAAATGTACATAGAGCTTAACATTATTATTTCATCAAGAACCTGGCAACAAAAGGTAAACAACATAATTAAATAGGCTTATTTCAATCTATAGAAAATGTTCTGTAGGTAATAACTTACTTTCAATGATTTAAAAATTTAATTCTGATATGTCTACTTACAGTTTTTTGCACATATCTAACAACAAATAATTGAGTAGAAGTCTATTGAATTATTGTCGGTTAAGTTACGGAAAAAATCTCTAAAAGTATACGGTGGTAAGTAAAAATTCCCGTCTTATGGGGAATAAATATTAAATAGACTGGGTTGCTGTTTGCTTATGGATATGTAGGCCTACCTATGTTTTAATAACATTTTTCACATTTCTTTATTTCATATTAAGCTAATCAACATTTTGATAAAAAAAAACACCTTATTTATTAGGCGTAGCAAGCCTATGTACACATTAAAATTAATTTTATTTAAATAGGAAATGATTCTGAAAATTTTAAGGAAATTAGAGGTAATCCACCCAGGTCAATGGGCATTTCACTTAGTTAACAGGTTTGCTGCGGCAGGGGTATTTTAATTCTTCATTTTGTTTCAGATTTGATCATGGGTACAGAAGCTGAAAATATTTCCAAGTATTTAAAAACAAAAGAGATTCAGCTACCCTCAAACAATAAATGGCTTTTAGATTGCATAAGCTGGTATAAATCCCACTCTGAAGTGGTAAGGAACCTTCAAATTTTTTTCATTAAATATTTTTACAATTTAAAAATTAATTTTAAAAATTTGCCAATATATGTACTCTCTTGTTGCACAATGTGTGGGTGCTACCAGATTTAGTTTATTCCAAATGTTAATCTTAACACGTTGACTGCGCGCGCCGACTTTACAGGCGCTCCCCAGTGGCGGGCGAAGCCCCGGCGCGCAACCGAATCAGCGAACGCAATTGGCATTCAAATATTTCAGTCTGACGAATCACAAAAGAGCAGTGGTGACTGTGCTGCGTTACCCCGAGAGTGGATGTAGTTCACTGAAACACCCAAAGGTAGCAGCACTGCATGGATCCGTATCCAGTGTCTTTGTAATGTGGGTTGAAGAGAAAAAATCCCCGAAACCGGGACAAAAGCATTGCCAGACGGGATTTTAAAGGAAATTTTAGTACCAACCTACACCAAAGTAAAGCTCGCATTCTAAGCTGGCAGGCTGGCAACGATTATAACGTCTCCGTCTGAGGCTAAGCTCACACTGACTCAATATATTACTGTTGGTCTGGTGCCGACTGTAGTCGGCGCGCGCCACCTGGGAGCGCTGGCGACGCCGACTAAAGTCGGCACTCGCAGTCAACGTGTTAATAACTTAGTACCATACCTATTCTATCACAATTACTACTGACTTGAGAATTTGATACGTTGTAATTTGTAGTGTAGCTATGCTCTGTTTTTTTTATAAACTAACTTTAGAACATACTCCTAACATAAGTTATCTGCTATTATTCTTGATAATTTGTGTTTTATTCAAGAGGAACATCTACCATTCCCTTCAAGACTATGTATGTATTCAGTGGCTATTGTCTGATCTGAAGGATGTGCAACAGCGATGTTTACCCACAAATTGTAAGCATTTGAACACAGAGCTGCCCGGAAGATACTGTGTTCAGGTAAGATTTAAGATAGTGATTTTCAATGTAAGCTATTATTTGATTTTGAAAAGAAAGTATTTCCTAATCCTTGCTCAGAATAAAAGCAAACTAGTACAGTTCCGCAGAGAACCTGTGATATATTATCGGATTAAATATCAATAAGTCGATTTGATATATTTATATCGCATCAAATTTAATTTTACGATATAAAAAAAATAAGTTAACAAACAAATTTATGTTTTTTTTATCATTGGTTTCATCCTAAATTTATACAACTAAAATCGAAGAAACCTTTTTAACCCTATGCGGTAATCATATAAATAAATTTTGGTTATTATTTGTTTTGTTAATGTTCATGTTCATAACCATTAGTTTTTTATTGAATAGCTTATGGATAGCTTAAGATAGATCCATTTAACATCAATAAAAACAAAAAACGTAAATAGATCATAACTAAATTCAATGTCTACATCGGGAAAAAAAGTTCTAGAAGCGCTAAACTGAATTATAATCACTATATATACCGATATTTAAACTGATAATATATCACAGGTTCTCTGCGGAACTGTAGCCTACTTAAGCAAATATTATGATGTTTAAGATGTTTAACAAACACTAGTGTTCTTCCCGTGCTTTGCAACGGGGCAAGAATGCTTAAAAGAATAATGAAGGTCTCTAAATATACTGTAAAAAACTGTTACACTTAAAATGGAAACTATAAATGTAAATCAAATCAAGTAGTTAAAGCTTACTTTGATGAAACTCTCTTGTGTACTTCCATTAAACTCTGTGGCAGGATACAAAACAATAACTTTATCAAATTGTAAACATCCGTAATGAGAACCAAAAGATGAAAAGTAAACAAACTTTAAATAAAACAAATCTAACAGCTGATGCATCTTAAAATATTATAAATGTGATTCAATAAAACCCTTGAATTGAGGTTTGTGCCCTTAGGAGAGGGTTTATCGATAAACTGATATAATTTGGGAAAGTTTTATATCAAGACCTCAAAAGTTCATCAGTTTTCTCTAAAGTTTGTCATCCTTATTAGCTACAGTAGATTTAGAGACCCACATTATTCTCTTGAGCATTCTTGCCCCGTTGCGAAGCACGGGATAAACTAGTGTAAGACATGTAGCAAGGTATAGCTTGCTGGTTAAGTTAAGTTCTACTGCTTGCTGACAAACTTTGATTTACATACTTGTCGGTACTTTATACTTTTTAATTGTAAATTGAGTTAAACCTGAGAATCATAAACCAAACCATAAACCCTTATGCTCTAGAACATTTAAAACTGTTGATCCCTGACTATTGAGTATCTTATTTTGTAGGTGAATTGGGTCAGAGATATAAGCCAGCCATGCTACACACAGCTTCAAGCTATGAAAAACAACAATATTGAGGACAGCAATGAGAACGTATCTGCAGAGGAAACAAAAAAACAAAACTGGGAACCAAATCCCAAGAGAGTACTGATGATGGAGATAACAGACGGGTTCACAACACTCAAAGCCATGGAGCATTCGCCGATAGCAAAGCTTGTAGAGCCCTTCATACCTGGCTTTAAGGTGATGCAAAATTGTCGGTACTTATTATATTTAGTTGTAATGACAGTAGGGCCTAAACAATAAGTAGGAAACTAACACTTAAATATGTCAAGATTTGAAGGAAAGCTGTATGGCTGAAGAAGGAATTATTTCAGATAGATAGTATTCTAAGAAAAAAGGGTCAAGGGGCTAACTGTACGTATCAACAAAGGCCGGCGCACACAGAGACGTAGACGAACGGACTAAAATTTGCCCCTCATCATTCATTGGGTGTAGCATTGTATGGGTCAACAACAAAATTAAATATGGATAGCATTCTGAACCAGCAAAAAATGCTATTAGAATTATGCTCAAGCTTAATCAAGATGATTCGGCAAAAGAACATTTTAAGAAATTAATAATTTTAACAGTTTATGGGCAATATATTTATAAATCAATTGCTATCGCTAAAAAAAGAACCAGAGAAAGTAATAAATTCATTGCATTCTTATAATTTCAGGAGGAGAAAGGAATTTGTCCAGCCTCACAAGTTAAAAGTTTTTGAAAAAAAGCACTCATACGCTGGTAAAGTTTTTCTAAAATTTGTCTCTTAATTCGTAAAAAAATATCAAAATTCAAGAAAATTCCAAAAGGTTAAATAAATTTAGCGTTATATTTTTTTGATGAGTTTACCACCTCCCAGAAATAGAAATAGTATTTTCTTTTATGTATTTTGACACTATTTACTGTACCACCAATGTACAGTAGTCGCAGCTAGTCTGGGCGCGCGGCCACGCTAGGGCGGGGGGTGTAGAGGGGAGTGTTTATTGCTCATTTCCAAAAACATCTGGCCCACAAGGCTATCTGGGGTTGTTCAGCGCCTCAGCGCTGTCTTCATGTCTTTGGCGTGGGGGACGGTTAGTACACAAGAGTCCGCGCGCCCAGACTAGCTGCGAATACTGTACATGAGTCTTGATGAATAAAGATATTTGAATATGAATATGAACATGTTGTCAAATGTGACAACACACACAGGAATCAGTCCCTCCGCTTGAGTTCGCAGACAGATTTTTTTTATCACCTCGAGCTATTTAAAAAAATCCTCCTGCAGACAATTTCTGCTGCGCATGCGCAAAGAGAGTTTTTCAACGTTACTTCTCTGCACCGCCCCTAGGCACGCTTTGGTTTGTTAACTCAGGATGTCTGTTTTGTTAGTCCTAATTTTTGTTCCATGTCTTGTAAATATTGATCAGAAATACTGTCGCTTTTTATTTTTTATATAGTTTGAATTTGTTTTGCATCGTAGTTATAACTTATATTTTCCCTAGTTCTAATTTAATCCTGCAATAAACAAACCTGTCTTCTCAGCATTATTATTTGTTTTATCTTTTATTCAAGTAGCCTACCATATTATTTTTTCATAGCAATGGTTGTTTTAAAAATTCAATTTTGACTTTTCAGGTGGTTTTAATTGGACCCATTGAATGTAGAAAAGGTATTCTCTTTCTGAAAAGTAACAATATCACTGTTCTTGGGGGCGAAGTTGACTATATGGGTGATATAAACTCAAAAGAGAGCATCCTATCTCGGTGTTTGTAAGTATTTGTGTTTTACATATGAGTTTAAAAATATTCTTTCTTGCAAAATTTAAGGCAAGCATGTTTCTTGAAAACCTTTTTTCTCAGCTCGTGTGCATCCAAGGCAAAATCTACGCATACTGTTGGAAGATATTTGCCTGTAGATGTACAGAATTCTTTTATAAATTAAAATAGTAAAAAAAGCACAAAAAATGAATTTTAAATTTAATATAAAATTAACATTGCCCTTATGGGTTGCCATGCTGGTGACAAAATAACAACGAAATATAAACTGAAAATCAAAACAAATTGCAGGAATTCCATTCACTTGTTTTATTTACAGCGTGGGGTGAAAATAGAAAAGTTACATACAATACATATTTTTTGTTGAGTTTTTGACCTCGAGGTGACCACTTGTCACATTAAATGAAGATCATCTTAAAATCATATGATCATAAAAATTTACAACCTCCCTAAAGATGTAGTTTAAGACAATTTTAGTGGGCTGTCTACAGAGAAGATAGGAGTCTAGATTTGTTCATGTTGAAGCCTTCCGGAATTGGTAATCAATTATAACAGGTTACGTACCTTGAGGTCCACAACTCCTTAGTCGGCGTCCGTTGACTAGTTTCGACTACTATGTAGTCATTATCAAAAACGGAACGTTAAAATATTACATTCATTGAATGTTGTCAAACCTTACACCAAACACACAAACAAACATAACACGAACACGGTAGACATTTAACATAATTGGCCGGCCGGCACACGTCACTGAACTGGTCGACGACGATGACTGTTTACCCCACTCCATTCCGCCATTAGATCACTTTGGTAACAATTATGTTGGCAACATGATTCCTGGAGGCACAGCTGATAAACGGAATGGAGTGGGGTATAATGTATTTTTAATGTACGTAATACAGTGACAAATAAGATGCTTAAGAGGCCTATCATCCTGAGCGCAGACTATAGAGTTGCAAATGTTTACTTCACTGACCATCAATATGATAGTAATGAAAAGCCGATTGCAGCCTATGAGATAGTAAGACATGTTTTGTATGAGTTTTAATTTTTTATCTACTTTATGCTTACGTTAAAACAACTGCATTAAAGCTTAACAATACGCATGTCAATGTTAGATATTCCCAGGCATTTTAGGTTAGGTTTGCACTAACCCGATTTTGACTATCCAAGTCAGTCACTCATTATCGTCGATAGTTGGAAGTCTACTGTAGTATGATTTTCCTACAAAGAAGTTTGTTCAGTTTGTCCTCAAGCTACTTAATAAACATATGAGGTCTGTTCAAAAAATACCCTACCCTTTACAGGAAAGCCTAATTTATTGATCAATTTGTTACAACATGTGATCTCCTTCAAAATAGTCCCCTTGGGACTTAACACACTTATTCACGAGCTCCTGCCACTTTTGGAAACAAGTCTGGCACTTGGTAATGGACTTCAGACAAGCTGTCACATTTTGCGTTATCTCATTTCTGCTCCGAAATCAGGTTCCTTTAAGCGGCGTCTTGAAGGTATGGAACAGCCAGAAGTCACACGGTGCCGTATCCGGTGAGTAGGGGCCAGATGTAGCATTTTGAATGCACCCCATCTTGTCTTGAGCAACTTCTGTTGTACCACTCTTTTATCTGTGTTACACCCATAGCGTCTCCATATGCTTGCTGAATCTTAAAAGAATTATTTGAGTTTGGCTATCACCCTGACTTTGGCAAAAATAATGCAGTATCGCTGTTCCACCCATTCCGTCACTATGCTTAGCCCTAAAACACAATTAACACTACGTACACAGTTTCAAGCGGCTGACAACAAACTGACGCCATTTCGAAGTCACGTGACGTGCTTTACAGTTTCCTCGATCTACACGCCAGGGTTGCGGCTTAATGGGGTTGTTGGATTACTCAAACTAGATAAAAAGAAGGGCCGTATAATTTTTGATTATACCTCGTATTTGTGTTTGCTTAATACTTACTTGATGAACATTTCTTGTTTTTAGGAATATAACACCCTCAGAGAGTAACAACAGCTCAGGGAGTAACAGTAATCGTCCTGCGGTTTCTCTCCCTCCACCCCCTCCTCCAACTTTCGACAACAGACCTCAACTTGAGCCAATGATGAATGATGTAGACCAGCTACCAGATTCAACGTCATTTGTATGTTGACTAACCTATTATTTTCAATTACATTCGCTGTGTATCTCCATTAGACGATTACTTAGTCAAAGAATATTCTGAATAGTAATTATTTACTTCACATTAAATCTTCTTTTAAGATTTTTTTGGTCTAACAGAAATCATTTAAGTCTATTATTAGTCCATCAGAGATCTCAAAAGATGTTTTCCATATTTTATAAATATTACCCATGAATAGAATGAAAAAATTTCATGGGCTTGGACCGCTTTCCCTTAAAAGCGTTTCAACTTTCAACTTACTGCATTAAAAAAAAAAACCACTGGCGTAACCACAAGAAAAAAATGTTACAGTAATGGTTAATTTTGTGGTGCTAGGTAAATATAAAATATAGATGTAACATCATTTAACTAACAATTACTCTACTAAAAAATACATTTTGTGCTTTATTTAATTTTTGTATGCAGTTCTTGTTAAACATAGCATATTAGTTTCCTCTGTGTTATGCCACAACATATTTGATGATGAAATTATTTTTCCCTCCAGATTGACAGCAACAATCATCAAGATAACCAAGACCATTATGTTGCTCTGATGGAAGATGACAATGACTTGTTTTGTCAGTTGCCAGACACGATGTTTAATGACAATTTCAATCAACCGGTGAACCAATTGTCTCCAGTTTTAGACCACAACTCCCCAGAAATAGTTCATAGTTCTGTGGAAAACATTCCAGAAGAAACGCGTCTATCACCTATTAGACCTAAAAATCACAATAGACCAAAACTATTTCCTTCTATGGAAGATTTAAGGCCGGAGAGAGAATCTTCTTTGTCAACAACATTGAATAAGAACTTGAATAACCGTTCCGAATCATCCTCAAGTACTGGTGTAAGAGTGTCTAACACAAACACTTTAAATAGACAAGCTGCTTATGAATCGAACAAAGAGCTCAGTGTATCACCGAGTAGTGCAAAAAGTGAAAATAAATCTGGACTCCAGAATAGACCTGCGGAAATTCCTCAAAATCATAAAAATCTCAATGATTCCATTTCAGATCAAATTGATGACATGTTGAATAAAACTGGTGAAGTCGTGTATCCTCAGTTCAAGAAAACTAAAGTTAAAGTACTAAGTATTACTAAAGTCAAAATTAAAAACAGTGAATGGATATGTTGTGCTTCAGTAAGGATTGAAGATGAACCTCATGATGTAACTTTTAGTAACAAGGTAAACATTAACTGTTTTCTCTAATTAAAAAAATAAAATAAAAAAAATTACCAGCACTTTATTTTGAAGATAAAAAATAGGCTGAGTACATGATTTCTGTCAGCCTTTTGGCAAACCTTCTGATAACAAAAAAACACACCCTAAAATGTAATTCTTATGTTTTGGTATTAGTATTAATAATTCAATTACCTTGAAATATCCTTTGGAGTTTTACTAAACTACATGTTTTCACATCTTTAGATATTTCTTACTCTAAGATTTGTCGCAAATCAAATTAAACATTGAACACAGGTAGACATATTTCACTCAAATACAATGCATTCATTGGATCAGCTTGACTAGGTTTGATAATTTTTTACTAATTCTAGTTCTGATAACTAATCTATTGTAAAAATGTTGTGCTAGCTAATGGCAAATTTGTTCATGATTTCTGACAAATGTCCAATAATTTTTAACCAAGTCAAACTGACAAGACGACTTATCATAAGCTTCAGCATGTTTCATAACACATTACAATCGCTGTGAAAACCGAGGAGGGAATTATAATTTTAGACTCTGCGAAGTGGGTCATTCAACTATAAATATTATTTTTTATTCTTTTTTTAGGCTTCCGATACAACTATGGATTCAATGTCTTTTACTATCTCCAAAAGTCAATGCATTGGCCTATGTACCAGTTCCTAAATAATTTACTATTCTTTCTTATTTGTACTAATAATTTAAAATTAATTCTATCACTTCAGTAAGCTGGCTCCATATTTCTAATTAATGTTAACGCTGATAATTTTTCATTTAAATCTATCTAAGGGTTTAATAGACGCTAATAACCACTTTTATCTTGCTTTCTTCCAGGCTCTAGAGAAGTTTTTTGGAACATCAGCAGCTGAGGTGGAAGGTTTACGTAGTGAAATGAGTAAAAACCCATCTTTGAAAGAAAAAATCAACTATGTAAGTTGTCCTAGTTTATATAGTCTCAATCCTTTTTAGAGTAGCTCAAGTGAAACAACTGTGAGCCCCAAAATTGAATAAAAAGTTACTACCTTACCTAAGCTACTACCTACCTACCTAAGCTACTACCTACCTACCTAAGCTACTACCTACCTAAGCTACTACCTACCTAAGCTACTACCTACCTAAGCTACCACCTACCTAAGCTACCACCTACCTAAGCTACCACCTACCTAAGCTACTACCTACCTAAGCTACTACCTACCTAAGCTACTACCTACCTAAGCTACTACCTACCTAAGCTACCACCTACCTAAGCTACTACCTACCTAAGCTACTACCTACCTAAGCTACTACCTACCTACCTAAGCTACTACCTACCTAAGCTACTACCTACCTAAGCTACCACCTACCTAAGCTACCACCTACCTAAGCTACCACCTACCTAAGCTACCACCTACCTAAGCTACCACCTACCTAAGCTACCACCTACCTATGCTACCACCTACCTAAGCTACCACCTACCTAAGCTACCACCTACCTAAGCTACTACCTACCTAAGCTACTACCTACCTAAGCTACTACCTACCTAAGCTACCACCTACCTAAGCTACTACCTTACCTAAGCTACTACCTACCTAAGCTACTACCTACCTAAGCTACTACCTACCTAAGCTACTACCTTGCCTAAGCTACTACCTACCTAAGCTACCACCTACTGGCCACTAACACTTTTGTCAGATATGACTTTAGTAATCTTTCCTTTGATCAACAGGATATTGATTAGGACCACTAGTTTACAATAATATCTTGCATTAGGCTGATATAGGACAGTAACAAGACCTGGAATCGGACTTTTCTCTTAAAAAAATATACAATCATTACCAAATGTCTAATATTTACAAACCTACTTTTTATTTTAAATACAGTAGACCACCTCTTAAACAACCCTAATGGGACCAGACCTAGGTCGGATAACCTCAAAAGGTTTGTCAAAACAAGCAATCCCTAAAAACCTTAAAAAATGGAGTGCTATTCATTTTGAATTAAATAATCATTATTCTGAAGGTGTGTGTTTATTTACAAAATTAACTACACTTATCTCCTTTATTTCTTAAGTATTGACGATAGAAAAGTCACAAATAAACCCAAAACACAGTAAAGTCAAATACTTTCAGTGGAATAAATTATTGTCACAGTCAAAGAGTCAATAAAACTTTAAACTTTCCAAATCTATCGTAATGCAGTACAGAAATTAATGTCGAAATTAAAGATGCAAGTAACCATTTTACCAAGAACTAGACAGGAAAAACAAGCTTCAGATTTTACTATGGCATGAATAATATATTACTTGTGTTTGTTAGTCAATGGTGCTAGCTAGCTTGTACAGGCATCAGCGGTTCCCTTTGTTTTTGTATGTTTTAAAAACCATTGATGTAATCGTCAGAGTTTAGTTACAAAATCTCAATCCACTGTCTTGTGACAATAGCAGTTAATTGAAATGGAAAGTTTTTGGACTCAGTTCTAGGCATTCAAAATCAAAATGGTTTTAGAAAGACACCAAACTGCTGTAAAAATATCAAATTATTGAGAGGAGGACCCCCAGATGGTTCCTTTTGTCTTCTTCACTCCCGAACCCCCTGGTAGCTTCGTGTCTAGATCCGCTACTGTTTAGAACTAGTCCTTTTTATGCATTGTATGAGCTCATCAAATTAGCAATCTCCATAAATGTTCCTGGTTTGTTAAGGGAGAAGAAAGAGTAGGTTCCACAATTTATTTGAAATCTGTTTCTATTTACCAACTTGATTTAACCTCTGTTTTAGATTTTGAAAACCGGTCAAACCAAATTGAAACTTCTCAACTGTCTGATGGTTGTGGAATACTCAAGCGAAGGATGCATCCCAAATATTGTCTCCATACATGAAGAATGATAACATTATTACCTGCTGAAAGAAGAAATCTACTAGTCCATTCCGTTCCGACCAAAGTGTATATTAATTTAATAAAGCGATTTTCACCAAAATCAATTAATACTGGATGTTTAATTATCATTGCCAATTTAATATAATCCAAACAAACCACAAAATAGGCAAGATTTATTAACCCTCTTCTACACATATAAAAATGGATTGATAGTATTTAAGCGATACTAGAGAGTATTTTGAAACTTTGCTACTGATGGTTTTTTAAATCGTTAATAATGTTGAAATAAAATTAATTCATCAATATTATAATATTCATAATGTTATAACCACTATAAAAACAAATACCCCCGCCGCAGCAAACCTGCCGTCTAAGCGAATTTCCATTTGCCTGAATTGATTTTCAATAAATCTATTTTTATAACATCAGATTTAACGAGTACCTAGGTTTGCTGCTACAAGGAAACTAAAAAAGTGTGTTTTTAAGTAAATAATTATAGCTTAGTATAAAATCAACAAATTTGCCATGTTTGATCAAAATATATCCATAAATTACTCAAGTTATCGTCCGGACGGACATATATATATACATATATAAAAATTTGAACGAATGGTGTTTTTGGCCTCTGGGGACATCAAAACGAAAAAGGAATCGGTCCCGGGCCTAGGTCTTACCATGAGACCTACGGTAATAGCTACTTCCCTATAGGGAAATTCGCTAAAAGTTGAAAGTTTGATTTTTACCTTCTTATAAACCGAACGCAACAAGATCATTTAAATTATGCTATGTTAAAACTTGCCTAAGACTGCTAATTATAGTGGATCTTCATTGCAATGTCCCAAACCTACTTTAGAAAATAAATTAAAAAGGAAGGAAATAGTAATGCCACACTCAAAACACTGTAAGAACTTGTTCACAGCTTTGAACGGTGGACACTAGATTGTTATATTGTTCACAAACTTAAGAAAAATTTAGTGATTTTCAATATTTTCATAAACAAATATGAGGCACAGTAAAGCTTTTGTAATTCATGAAGACATTATCTGTATCGGTGGTATTGGACACAAGTTTATACTGCTGTACTGAAATTTGTGCATCAGGTATATTTTAATTAGGGATACTATTTTAATTTCAATTCTTATGATCACTATAAGCCTTTAATTCCCAAATTTGGCGTATTAATTTATTTCATGCTAAGCTACTGTACTAACATTTGACAGAACTTCTATACTTAAATATATTTATGAATTATTCTACTACCAAAGTCAATTAATCTGGTTGGTTAGCAAGGGAAGTTAAATGTCGTGGTTCCCATGATGAGACAATTTAAAAGAGCTATAGGCCTAGATCGAATCACGTCTGAATAATCAGTATCAGGGTATCAGCAATGTGACACATGCTTTCTCCCGTTGGTTTGTCATCAACCCTTATCATGTCACATGGATAAGCGGTGAGAGTAGCTTAATTATTATTTTTTGATAATTGGGAAAATCACAAAAGTTGCAATAACTTTTAAACCGTACTTTTTACAGCAATAGAATCTGTACCATTTTGTAGAGTTAAAGGAGTTAAGGACAATAACATGGCCTACACCAGTGGCGGATCCAGAGGGGGGGCGAGGGGGGCGACCGCCCCCCCCTCGGGCATACATATACATATATTTTTTACTGCATGTAATACAGTAGTGCATACAAATTGTGTAAAATAATTTGTCACACTAACTTTGGACAAAGAAATGGTAAAAAACTGTGATTTAGGAGACTTAGTTTACACACATTTTTCGGAGGGGTACCCCCGAACCGCCCCTGACTCCCTGGTTCGCCCCCCCCTTGTGACTGCTCTAGATCCGCCACTGGCCTACACACAATTTGAATCAAGTTAAGTCATGTCTTTTTTACAATTTTTTTTGTAATAGGTTTTTATGGAGAAAAACACAAATTTGCAATATCTTTTGAGCCAAATTTTACAGCAATGAGGGGTTAAAACATGTTGTCCAGACTCAAGAGGAGTAACATAACACACTAAACTTAATCAAAATCGCTCGGACCAATTTTGAGAAAATTTGATGTTTCCGTTATTTTATGGGGAAATCACACCATTAAAAATCTAAATAGCCCCACCCAGCAAACTTGCTGACTAAGCGAATTTCCATTAGCCTGATTTACTATAAAATGTCTCTTTAAAATATAATATTTCCTATTTCAATAGCATTGGTTTAACAAGTACTTAGGTTTGCTGCAACAGTGAGGGAAAAAAGTGTTTTTTTTTTGTGAAATGTTAAAAGTTTACTATAAAATAAATACTTTTTCCAAAATTGATCAAAGGATGTTCATAAACAAGCAAATTATAACAGTTTACTTATTCTCCATAAGAATAAAATGGAAATTTTCTCCATAACCATTATAGGCGCATTATAATGCTCAGTATACAAAATTATTTGTTTTTTAAGCTCTACAAAATAGTTAGGAAATAAATTGCATTTTTTTGTTTTGCCCAAAAATGGGAGAAACCTATTTTTACCCCATAAAACCCCCAATAAACCCCCGTTCCCTTAGTCCGATCATGCTGGTTCGCGAACTCGAACTCGCGTTCTAAAATGTAGGTTTACACGTTTATACCATATTTAATCAAAATCGGATCATTTTTGCTTGAGTTATCGTGCTCACGGACACACACACACACACACACACACACACACTTAATCATGTTTTTTTTTCATGTATATACAACTTTTTTGGGTTTAGGGGGAAAATGGATTAATCCCCCAAAACTCAAACTCGAAAACAATTATTATTGTATTATAAGAGTACTAGCTGACCCGGCGAACTTCGTATCGCCTAAGTTATAGGTTTCCCCTAAGACAGACCGATGGAAAGAAAGTACCGTTACGTTTAATTTTCAAGATGATCTCGTTCGCATCGCTCAATCACGTCTTGGTTTGGGTTGAAGCTCGTTCGCTACGCTCACTTACCTTTAGGTTGGAGCTCGTTCGTTGCGCTCACTTGCCTTCAGGTTAGCTCGTTCGCTACGCTAACTCGCCTCCAGGTTGAAGTTCGTTCGCTACGCTCACTCACCTTTGGGTTGGAGCTCGTTCGCTACGCTCACTCACCTTTAGGTTGGAGCTCGTTCGCTGCGATCACTTGCCTTCAGGTTAGCTCGTTCGCTACGCTAACTCGCCTCCAGGTTGAAGTTCGTTCGCTACGCTCACTCACCTTTTGGTTGCAAATTAGCTGTTGTCATAAATGTAAAAGAAATAATAGTGCTGCACCCTGTTGGTAATCCTTGTAACTTTAATGCTATTGAACATCATAGAACAGAACCAACTTGTTTAATTGAATTAGCTGTTAAGATTCATTAATTCCATTTCTCATAAGGTTAACATGGGAAACTCCAGAGCCACTGGGGCGGAGCCCTTTTAAGAATTTCGAAACGGGAAATAGTTTACGTCCGATTCGCATACCTACAGAATTTACACACCAAATTTCATAACGATCGGTGAAGTCGTTCCGGAGGAGTTTGCAGACAAACACTGTGACACGAGAATTTTATATATTAGATTACAGTATACTTTATCCATACTGTTGTAGGAGGATAAATTAAAAAGTTAGTTATTCCCATGAGTTCATGACCTGCCCAGTATATGATAATATCCCAGTATAAACTATTATGGCGTACAAGGGTGCCCATCCCCCCAGACTCATTTAGGCTCGGGGACAGCGAGCTGGTCTAGTGGTTAGAGCGTGGGACATCGGTCCAAGAGGCACCGGGTTCAAATCCCGCCAAATCACCAATGGATTTTATCTAAGTGATAATGCTGCAACCCCTAGGTCTCGCCTGAAGTAATGTAAAAAAACAATCCCACGCTCGTGCCTAGCGTCCTAGGAAAAAAATTATGGCATACCCGAAATCACACCGTTTTTGTTTTAAGGTCTAATATAAATTCCTAGGTTAGTAAAATTGGCTCATAAATGTAAATAATTTAATGGCAAAAAGTAATGTGTTCCTGATTTAATCCAAACATATACATTTCTATTTATTTGTAATTGAGTTTACTCCACGTAAATCATAATCAATGGAAGTCTGCAATTAATTTATTGGAATGTAGATAAGGCTATAAAGTTTAGCTCAATACAGTAACAGTAGTGAGTGGGGCCTGGGGCCTTGATACAACACAACAGCAGACAATGCAAACACGAGATTTTAAAATCGACGCCGAGGAAGAGTTTTAACTACAGTACTGTTTAAATTGTACAGTAATCTTTTTCATTTCTCCATCTTCCAATTCTTTTCTTCTGCTGGCAGATTTACATTTTAGGTTAGTTAATTTGACAAAAATCATAACAATAAATAAACAAGGAAGATCAGCAAGAGGTTAAAAGTTAAAATAATCGTCCAAGATGGATCTATTAAAGGCGGAATTGGAAAAGAAGAAAAGAAAACTTTTGGAAAGTAATCTAATTGTAAGTTAAGTAGGCTACAGTAATTTTGCCCAAAATGTCACTAGTATCATTCTGGGCTTTCATTTAGGCCTTGGCCTATTCTTCTGACTTGTTGTGTTTTGGTACTTACAAATCAGAAATTAGGTCCTTCTATAAAAGCATAAAGTAAGCTTGGGTGTGGATAATCTGAATTAGGCGTAATTGAGTTTCTGTTTCCTACAGTATTAGGCCTAAGCTACTGGTAAGTTGCCCAATTAGGTTAAGTTATAGCTTTGACTATTAATGTTGTAGGAAAGGCTCAAGTTATAGGCCTACCTAACTACTTTTTTATGGCGCCGTATTTGACGTTCTTTTCAAAGGAACAGTTCAAAACCTGTTCATGTTTATTATAAAAAATTTACCTTAATAACTTGTGTGAACCTGGCAATAACTCAGCAATAAGAAGGCGTAGTGAGTGTGCCTGATAAAATCTAGTGCTGGGCGTTTTGCGGAAAAATACGGCCGAGTAGCCTACCTTAATACCAATGATGTCAACAGATAGAGGACACTTTAACGGACACGACAGTATCAAGGTTATATAGGCCCTACCTGGCATAACTTAACCCTCCCAGTGTTACTTGACGAAAATTCGACAAGCAGCACACTTTGTGTAGTGTTACTTGTCGATTTTTCGACACGCAGACATCGTTTAAACGGCGAAGGCTCTATGACTGACTGAATCGGATTGAACTGGATCGAGTTAGGTATCGTTCTTTCCGTAATATTCTAAGCTTTCTCCAGAGGTCTGTCTCAGCGCTGTACGTTCTCTGAGCCGATCGTAATTGTAGCAGACAGCTGACGTGCGTGTATTTGTAAACAGCTAGGTTACCCTTGGACCGATGACTGATGTGTTTTATTACGTTTATCATTGTTTTAGTGTTAAAAATCAAAAGTAGTGATATACGTGTTGCATTATAAGAAGATTTAAGTGGTTTTGAAGTGCTGGTTGATGATCCTAAAGAAGTAGGTAGTGATATTGATGTAAATTATCAGCCAGATTCCTAGCTATGGTTAGGCTATGCATTCTTAGCTAAACGCTATGTACTGAAATCCGTTTTTTGCCCATAACTTATTTATTTGCAAATCTACTTCCTTATATTATTATATATTTGTAATCCTCATAAAATTTAGAACAAAGTGGCTATTTTCAAATATTTGTAGGCCTATAATTTATACAATTTCATTGAGCGCGAACTTATTTTTTTTTTTGAAAATTTTTGAAATTATATTTTTTTTTACCTAAAATTTTTTTTTTGAAAAAATGTTCCTTATGTTTTATATATAATATTGAAGCCCATGATTTTCCAAACAAAATGGTATATAGAACATTAGAATTAACATTGTTTTAAGCTTCTCAGATCCGTTTTGATAAAACCTTGCAAATGCGCCAAAAATAGGTGGACATTAAGGCCTAAACTATGGACACTTGGAGGGTTAAAAGCTAGTAAAAAAAGGGGGGGCTTAAAGCCAGCAATAAGTAACTTAGTGTGCACACTGATAAAATCTATTGCTGGGTGTTTTTACGTGCTCGGAAACAATATGGCTCTAGTTACTGACCCCGATGAACCGCTGCCATCACAAGGTGTTAACACATAAAATTATCTTTTAATTTTAGAGTAGGCCTAGATATAAAGTTGAGCCCCGCATGATTGTAGTGGTCATTTAGGCTAACATATCGTTAAATGAGTATACTGAAACAGTTTGGTCAATATATTCATACCAAGCGAAATGTAATAATTGCATTCTTAACTTTTCAGCAACCCAACAAGAAGTATTATAAAAATTCTGAACTGAGAGCAAAGGAAGAAGAAGAGTATCTGCAAAGATGTGGCTCAGAAAAAGTTGAAAACAAACCTGAGATGGATAGCAACAAAGATGGTAGGTTGAACAAGTTATTACTTATTGGGTGGTAAAATTTGTAAACTTGTTATATCTGGTTGTTACCCAACTAGTGCATGTCGTTGATAAAGTGGCCCCCCACTATTGTACAACGGAATACAGTAAGTTACTAGTTATTGTTGTAGGTAGTTGCGTCAGAAACAGAAACCATGTGTTTTTCACCCCCTCACGCATTATCTCTTTCATTATATTTATGGTCGATTTATGGTACACTACTTACATTCATACAATGTTAAACGCTGATCTTATAAACACACCACGAAATGTATTGTTAAAAATATTGATAAATTGTGTAAGAGCATTGACATCCAAGAAATAAAATCAATCATTTTAGCCTCTGGATTGCTTACATTATCAATTGAAGAAATAAAAGTAGTAAAAGTAAATAAAATCATTTTTGTAAAAACAAATATTGAACAATTCTCATCTCGCTCATTAACTCACAATCATTATACCAGACTAAGGAATAATTTAGAGTTACCATCATTAAGACTGGCCTCAACACAGCGCAGCTATAAATATTTACAACTCAAACTTTTCAATGCCCTCCCTGAAAATGTACGCAACTTGCCTATTAAGTCACTGAAAAATGTATTGACCCATGTTTTGAACAGAAAGGTTATCTACTCTATCGAGGAATTTTTATCTTTCAAACATGATGATTTTCTGTAAAATTTGAAATGTTAAGTAGGGTATTGTTTCTAAAGTATGTAACAATGAATGGTTTCATGAACTGTGATATAATAGTCTTTCATAATAATGTTATTTCTGTCAACTTTATTTAAAAATTTATTGTTATTTAGTTTTAAGCTGTATCTCACTGCCAATTTTAGCCTTAATATGACATATACTTAATGGCAATAAACTATTTGAATTTGAAAAGTTTCATTTTTCATTTAAATAGATATAGGCCTAGGCTAAACAAAACATAGGTCTAATAACAAACTGAAAAAAATCATTGATAAAAGTCACTGTTCTTACTTCCCTAAAATTGTTTTTTGGCTTGTGGTATACATATACTGCTCCATCTTGTTTCTGAAGACATCATGCATGCACTCTTATTTAAATACCTCCCAAAAATACTCTGTTCAATATTTCACCAGTCTTATTGCTTGATTCATCTATATCTCTATCTGCTTGATTCCAAATTTTGTTTGATACCTAGGCTTACACCTCTTCTCCTTTCTTAAAATATCTTAGATTTGCTTTGAAATAAAATGCAATAACAACATCAACATTAACATTATCAAGGCAGAGTAGTTTGATAAAAAATACCCTTGCCATTTTTATGGTTAACGTGGCTAAATTTAGTTATGGAAATGTTTTTACTAACCATCAATTGGCATGAAACTAATAATTACAACATGGTTTTCAGACAGCTTTAAACTGTTTATTTTTTTAGAAAATGAAAAGAAGGATTCTGACGACCCAATAAGACTACCAAGAAAAGAAGTGATACGAAGGCTACGAGAGAGGTGTGAGCCAATTTTATTGTTCGGTGAGAGTGAATTGGAGGCGTTTCTCAGACTGAGAAAATGTGAAATCCTGGAGCCTGAGATCAACAAGGTAACTTAATTTTATTTTAAATTGATGATATATCATAAAAAAAGTGGTGTATGACAAAGACAAAGTAGGCCTACGTGTTTGCTTCGGGCTCAATGCAAAACCTACTGAACTGATTGGGGTCCAACGATTTCCTCAAAATTCTTTGAAATATCTTAGTTTTAGGCTAAAAACAATATTTGTGCTAGGCTCTGTTCTAAGAAATTTTGCTTATTGTTTATAACACTAAATGAAATTTTAATATTTTTAACATTGGTCTTGTGGATTGCCAAGTAGTCACGGTAGTTTTACAATAAATGTAAACCAAGTAATTTTAACATACGGTAGTTTTACAATAAATGTAAACAATAACAATAAACAAATAGGAAAGCTAAGAAGAAAGAAGAGCCAACAAAAGGAGAAGTAAGCTGATCATTGAACCCAGAACAAAAAGAGGGATCTGGGGGTTAGCTAGGGTACCTCGGGGTCGCCAGTCTACAAGAGGCCTCCTATGTAGTTGACAAACAACTACCCCTGAGGAAAATCCGTGGATTTTTGTAGTTGCGAGGCGGCCGATGCGTTGTTCCACGATCTCATAGTTAGTTGCGATGTTCTACAATCCTAGTGACTATCAAGTACCTATATTTAAAAGGTAATCATTGTAATATTAATTACTTAGTTCCACTATTTGATTTTCAACCTTGTATTACATAACGAGATTTTGCATTCATGAGTGGGTCTAAAGTATAACCTTTTAATTTTATAAATATAAATATTGTAATTTTGCTCGTAGGGTTTTCGGAACGATTTTCAAGAAGCGATGGAGAAGGTTGACCAAGATTATGAGAATGAAGTTTTAGCATCTGCTTCAAAAGCTGGTGGAAGTAGTTCACAAGAAGATGACAGATTGAGTAACAATCAAATTACTTATGATGAGATTCAGTCCATGGCTACCAACTTAGGAAAGGGAGACCGCAATCATGACATGGAAGTCATCATGCAGTTTTTGCAGGTTGGTTTCATTATTTTATGGATATTTTATTAATTGAAATGAAATGAAAATACTTCTTTATTGAGGCGAACTTAGAAACTCATGGTCATTTCTTACAGTTAACCTATAAAAAATAAACAATAACAAAAAATTAACAAAATTAAAACAACAAAGTTTGCAATAAAACAAATTGTGCAAATAACAGCATGAATTTCCTTCGTCTTCCATGACATACAGTCACAAGCACACACACCCTCTGCTGCACCCGGGGGCCTAATGTACGCCATTCCACTAAGACACGGCCATTCGGTTAAGGTAATATTCCTTCAGCGCCACCATCATTCGTGCTCAGTTGTCTATGAATTTAATGGAATAAGGTACTACGTATTTCCTTAGGTGGTATACAGTTACTATGAATGATTTTTTTATACTTGGTTGTCCTGTGATGGGTAAAGTGCAGCGTACACGAGCCAGAGCAGGTACAGTATTCCTTAAGCGGGTGAATTGATATTTTTTACTCACATACTTTTTAATTTGAGCTATATTAGGTTTGGCATGCGATGAGCTTTGTGTTTGATTTGATCAATAAGCTAAATCTCAGAATTCAGAGCATACCCTACGATAGAGTATAGTTAGTTTAAGGTAGTTTATAAATGCTACTGTAAAGGCGGTTACCTCCAGTAGAGAGGACCTACCGTTACACTACTTCATAGATATATATATATATATACTAGCTGACCCGGCGAACTTCGTATCGCCTAAGTTATAGGTTTCCCCTAAGACAGACCGATGGAAAGAAAGTACCGTTACGTTTAATTTTCAAGATGATCTCGTTCGCATCGCTCAATCACGTCCTGGTTGAAGTTCGTTCGCTACGCTCACTCACCTTTGGGTTGGAGCTCGTTCGCTACGCTCACTCACCTTTAGGTTGGAGCTCGTTCGCTGCGCTCACTTGCCTTCAAGTTAGCTCGTTCGCTACGCTAACTCGCCTCCAGGTTGAAGTTCGTTCGCTACGCTCACTCACCTTTTGGTTGCAAATTAGCTGTTGTCATAAATGTAAAAGAAATAATAGTGCTGCACCCTGTTGGTAATCCTTGTAACTTTAATGCTATTGAACATCATAGAACAGAACCAACTTGTTTAATTGAAACAGCTGTTAAGATTCATTAATTCCATTTCTCATAAGGTTAACATGGGAAACTCCAGAGCCACTGGAGCGGGGCCCTTTTAAGAATTTCGAAACGGGAAATAGTTTACGTCCGATTCGCATACTTACAGAATTTACACACCAAATTTCATAACGATCGGTGAAGTCGTTCCGGAGGAGTTTGCAGACAAACACTGTGACACGAGAATTTTATATATTAGATATACATATATAGTTTTATCAAAATACCTCCAATTTGATTCAATGCATGTAGGCCTATAGGCTACTCCATGTTAACAACTAACCTAACCATGTATTTCTTATGTAACAAGATCAGATGTGAATAGCAGCCTCACAAATTACAATTTCATGCGTGAAGATGGAGACTGTCACAACAGTGTTGTTTCCATGTTCTAGCTTTAGGATTAGTGATTAATACTTTTATGTTTGATTGTATTGAATATTTTAAAATGGAACATAATATTAACCAATGTTTAACATTTTAGTACCTAATGAAGATGTGGGGTGGTGAGTTGAATAGTAAAACAGGATCGGAAAAAATAAGCACTAAAGGGAAAAAAGCCATGGCCAAGTTCACCCAAACCCAAGCTTACTTAAAGCCACTGCTGAGAAAACTCAGGACAAAGAGTTTACCCGAAGATATCTCGGACAGCTTGACAGAAATTGTTAAGCACATCCTGGATAGGAACTATATTAAGGTGAGAGTATACTTTGTTATTCTATATTGACCAACTGGCTAGAGCTATTGACTAGGGATACTGTAGGGAGATTAATTTGCGCAAAACTTAACAACTCAAAACTGAATGCAGCACAAACTTTATTGAAATTTAAACTCCTTAGGTAGAGCTATAGGTAAGTGCCATTTTCTAAATTTTGAGCCTTAATCACTGATGGTGGGGCAAAATGGAAAAAAATATAATTGTTTTATAAGAGAAGCTACTTTATTATGGTTTTACCATACACTGTCAAATTTTTGTAATAGGCATTTCGACCGTGAACCTAGTTATGCATTTTCAAAGTTCATAACAAATTCAGATTCTGTATTGGTTAATAGACAACTAGAATTAAGAGCACTTATCTTCATTGGGCATTTAGGATAATTCTTTAAATTTATTTTGAAAGTTGGAGCATTATACTGTAGGATCTTCCTGTTGCATGATTTTTACAACAATCAGTGCAGTTGCACTATGGGCGGCCGTGGGAACAGCTGCGTGGACGAGTCCCCAAAAACTTTAAAATTTAGAAAGTTAAATTTCATCTCAAAATTTAAAACTACTGTATTGACAAACTTTTTTTTATATCACCAAGAACAATATTCACTCAGAAACCAAATTTGAATAAGACATTAAATTTACTTCAATTTTTAAAAGAAAGCCTAAAACTACCAATTCAATTCATTGTTGGACTGTATTATCCAAGCCTAAGTTCAATATTCTTGAATTATTCCCATTTAACATTTTTATAACTGGTATAAGTATCACTAAATAGTTGAAGATCTTTTGATAGTTAGCCGAGTTCCCTCCCTGAGAATATAACTCGATATATTATGATCACCAAGATTCAGGCCCACGGTTAGTGTGTGACCAACTTTGGGCCTGAGAGGTAGTTGCGCTACCCCAAACATTGATATAAATTATAAAATGAAAATAGGCATTTTATGGTTTGCTTGCGCATCCACATGTAACAATGCTAACGCTTGTTATATTGTGTTTAATTTTAATTGTTATAAAAATTAAGCTTATAAGTGAAGATGAAATGGTTGACTTTACACAGCTATGTTCTGTTCTTGTATCTGACAATGGTCCACTCGATGAATCATTGGTTACTGTCGTTACTGGTTCTAGGGTAGGTATCTCATCAGTCTTGATCTGACAGTTTTTAATGCATAAAAAAATACTTATTTTAGGAACATTTTGTAACACTTTTTCACTGTCCAAAAGTTTTTTGCCACCCTCTTTCTAAACTCACTGCCTCTGTTTTTGCCAATTTCACAGAAACATGTTAAATAAAGGATCTCGTCAAACATAATAAAATCATAAGCAAAAACACAACGTTAACTTTGGTGACTAGCCAACTGATAATGGTTCTCACACTCACCCGATTGAACAAAAGGAACTGACATTAGTGGTAACTGGAAAATAACATTCAAAATTAAATACAAATAAGATAAAACGGCTCATGTAGCTACATTTCCGAGCAGTGACAGTGATGAGCCATAAGTGGGAACTAAGAGTGAGGATTCTATTGCCGTATGATGTAAAATATCTTCTGTTGCCCCCAACAAAACAAAAGAAAATTTTGCGCCCATGTATAAAAGTGGTCGTGCGGCTCATTGCTCTACTCAAGAGCAGTACCTTTGCAAAATGGAAATGATGAGGTTACGTATTATTGTTTGCTATATTGTAATATTAAAGGTAGTTTTGAGTAGAGCTACATTGCAGTGCATTGAAGTTTGGTTAAGTATGCTTACGTATTACCTTTTGACTACTAATACAACTTCAGAATCCAAAAGTCAATGATATTACAATTATTGTCGTGCAGAATTTAGATACAGTATAACCTCACTAATTTGAATTTCAGAGGAAAGACCTATATTTTGAATTGTAGGAAGTTTGAAATATAGAGTTTGTATTATATAGAGGTCAGAATAAATAAAATTTGCAGTATGGAGGTCTCAGTTTTAAGTGTAGAGAGTTTGAGAGAACGGAGACTAATGAACACATCATGGGAACATCAATAATGAGCGTCAGCTCATTTTTCAACAAGCGTATATTTTGTTATAAATTCGAATTACGGAGGCAGTTACAGAGGCAGATGATGCAGTTCGAATTGTAATAAGAGACTGACTTCGAATTTTGGAAGTAACGATTCAAATTATGGCAACAAAATTCGAATTGTAGAGGCTGCATTAATCCTAAAAAATCCCTTTGCATTATCAGTATATTATCTTTTGAATTTAAGAGGTATTCTGAGGGTAACAGACAGACATTACTAATTATAGAGATTATCGAGGTTTGAATTAGTGAGGTTCTACTGTTACATTGCTTTATTTTCCTTTGTTACACTTTGATCTCTTTTCTCCATTATTCCTGTACTCCTAACCCTAAAATAGGATATTTACCTACATGTCGTAGGATGTGGCTACATGTTGAATTTTGTAAAAGCTTAGAAAATAAAATTGCCTTTTCAATTATTGTAGTTAAATTGCTCAAAAGTAAAAATAATTATTTTTTCAACTCCGTTTCAGGCTAATGAAGCTTACCTGCAGATGGCCATTGGCAACGCTCCGTGGCCCATAGGTGTCACCATGGTGGGTATTCACGCTCGTACTGGTCGAGAAAAGATTTTCTCCAAAAACGTCGCCCATGTGTTGAACGATGAAACGCAACGCAAGTACATTCAAGCGCTCAAGAGATTAATGACTAAGTGTCAGGAGTTTTTCCCTACAGAACCGTCTCGATGTGTTGAGTACTCGACCGAAAACTAGGATAGAAAAAGTTCAAATCGGGATTGTTAGATAAATTATATTTTTTGTGAATATTAAAAACTGTGTAAGTAGTGTTTTCTTGTAAATATTTTTTAAGTAAAGTGGCTATAAAAGCTTTTGTACCTGTTTTGGGTTAACTATTAACTTACATATTTTATTTTTACACATGTAATAATATAATGTATCTCTTTTTATCATACACAATATACATTGTTTTATTTACTGTAACGTGTATTTTTTTCTCAAGACATGCTATGTGAAACTTCTATAAAGTGAAACCCTCAAATTGGGGCACATAAACACTATTTTAAAAAATATCAGAGACAAAATCTGCATATTTGTGCACACCAGTACCTTTGAAGTCAATAAACATTGTTAGTATAGTATTCAGAGTGTGGCTAAACATATTGTACTTTGCTAAATCTAGATCCTTTGCATCAGAGTTTTGCAGATTTCTTGTTTTACTAATCAAGCTAGACTTAAATTAAGGCAAACAGTTTGAGGTTTGCTGTTTGTTAATGCTTTTGTCCAGCCAACGTGAAACTGTACAGTCATGCATTTTTATGACCGAAAAAAAAATAGGCGATTTTTAGGAAATTTAAATGCTTTAATGCCTAAAAATCCTACCAAAATGGCAGTTTTTTTTTGTAGTTGAAAACTGGACATCAAAATTTCAAATTTTTACATTTCCTTTTTAAGGTCAATTTGCACACATCAATTCTGTCACCATGTCACAGTTTAGTCACATCAGTCTCGTCAGAGTAAAAACATTCTTGGGTTTTCTATTGTGCTAACTACGTTCATCCAACGCAGAATGTCCGTCAGTCAATTTCAAATTTCTTCCGATATTTTTTGGATTGTTCGTACGCCCGACGGACCTGTTTGAGCTTATAAAATGGTTTTTTGTTATTCAAATGACTCTTTAGTATATATTAAGTAATGTTTGTAAGAATCAACTTATCAACAAGATATACTGTACAATGAAAATTTGTTGAAATTTGGTTTTTTAATGAAAAATTGTTGACTGTAACCAACTGACTGAGTGAGTATTGACTGAGGATTTGCGGATGCAACTGAGACTGAACTGTGACTGGACTGATGTATAAGAATCAACCTTTATTTTGATATCAAAAGAATCACTATCATGTTAATTTTACACAACCTTTAGTCCTATATTTTTAGATTTTAAAAACAGTACAGTTAAATTTTATTTAAAAACATATCTTTATTTGGTAATATAACGAACTTGTTTACACTTTACAAATAACTTAACAAATTGAAACTAGGTTCTGCATAACAAATTGATACTAAACAGTAGAAATGACAATACACTTTATAACTAACGGCACAACACTTTTCATTGGAGTTATGGAAATATTATAAATGGGAATCACAAGAAAAACACAAATTTTACAAATGATTTGGGCTATATAAATAAATTTGATGAAAAGTAGATTCCCTCTATTATGCAAAAGAATTTACAGAAAAAGTTAAACTCGTTACCAGAAGAAAACTGGTTTGAGAAAAAATGCAATGAGTTATATTAGTTTTAGACAGGGCCTATTCTGACTTTTAAGCTCTATAAAGATTCTTGGCATTACGAAGCAGAAAATATGATGGTGTGCAAAACTGAAAACAGGAATGAAGTTATTCCTGAGTACTTTGAGTACTTTGATTTTGAGTATTTGAAACTGAGTAGTTCTTGATGATCCAAAAGTGCTCCATTACTTCAGTGAGGGCCAGTCTTTCTTCAGGCCTGTATCTGAGGAGTCTCGATATCAAATCCTTCGGTCCCGGAGTGATGCGTGACGTCCACGGAACAGCGACGTCAACAATCTTCCTGAAAGTTTCTTTTGATTCACCACTTTCAAAAGGAGGTTTGCCCACCAAGAATTCATAGCACAAAACACCCAGACACCAGTTATCCACTTTCTCGTTGTACTCTTTATTCCTCACCATTTCCGGTGGAAGGTAGTCCAGTGTGCCGCACATTGTTTTCCGTCGAGAAGAAGGTGCGTGGACGGACCAACCAAAATCAGCGAGTTTTATATCCCCTTCACTATTCATCAACAAGTTCTCTGGCTTTATATCTCTGTGGATCACTTTGTTAAGGTGGCAGTAGTGAAGAGCATCAGCAACTTGGAACGTGTACTTAGCCGCAGTTTTTTCATTGAATCTTTTCCCTGGCTGTTTTTGGAGATGTTTATAGAGCTCACCACCAGCAGCGAATTCCAAAACCAAAAAAATGTGTTTGGCATCGTAGAAGTAGGTTAGCATCTGCAACACATTCGGGTGTTTTAAGTGGCTCTGAATTTCTATTTCTCTAATAACTTGATGTTGCAAACCACATTTCATCAGTTCAGATTTAAATAGCATTTTTAGAGCTACAACCGCATGAGATGTTTTTTCTCTAGCTAAGTACACCCTACCGAATTTACCACGCCCCATTGGAGAGCCTATTTCAAAATCACTGATAGCCCAATTGTAAGGTTTGCCATTTCTTTTTAAAATGTGTTCTTCCATTCTAGACACCATATTGATAACATCGTCTTTGAGACTGTCTGGAACATCTGGTAGCTCAGCAGCAAACTGGAGTGAATTATTCTCAGTAGACCCCATCCTGAAAAAAAGTATAGTTGTGAAAACAGAGCTTGTGTAAGTGTGTTATTTTGGAATTGTTGAAAAAAAAATCTTTTACAAATTATTTAAAGTAAGTGATAGGAATTATTAGTACCAGCATCTTACCAGTCAGTCTTATAATTGTGGTTGCATTAACCCCTAATGGGTGATGAATTTTGTTGTTTAGGATGTTGGTTATTTTTCAAAACATAAATTTGGAAACAATTTTCTTGGTTTTTAGCGAATTTCCCATATAGGGAATAAGCTATTACCGTAGGTCTCATGGTAAGACCTAGACCCGGGACCGATTTACTTTTTCGTTTTGAGGTCCCCAGAGGCCAAAAACACCATCCGTTCAAATTCATATATATATATATGTGTATATAAATGTATTTATATATGTGTCCGTTAGCGCGATAACTCGAGCAAAACTGATCTGATTTTGATGAAATTTGGTACAAACGTGTAAACCTACATTTATTCGAACGAGTTCGCGAACCAGCATAATCGGACCATGGGATCAGGGGTTTATGGGGGGTTTTATGGGGTAAAAATGGGTTTTTCTCATTTTTGACCCTAAAAACTTTAAATTTCTAAATTTCTCTCTAGACCATTTTAAAGAGCTTAAAAAAACAAATAATTTAGTATATTGAAGTGTTTTTGAATGTTCATTGACTACGGAGAAAATTAAAAAAATTGTAAATTTAAAATGCCCATGTTATTCTTATGGAGAATAAATAAACTGTTCTAGTTTGCTTGTCTATGGATATATTTTAATCAAATTTGGCAATTTGGTTTATTTCATACTAAGCTATCAATATTTCAATTGAAAAAAACACACCTCAACATCTTCCCCGTAGCAGCAAACCTAACTACTCACTAAAATTAATGTTATTTAAAAATGGAAATAAATCTGAAAATTTATAGGGAATATTTTAGTAGAAATCAAGCCGGGTAAATGGAAATTCGCTTAGTATGCAGGTTTGCTGCGACGGGGGTATTCTAACTTATATTATATCCATAAGTTCCTCAAACCATTAGGTATCCTGAATATGTTAAAATACTCCCGCCGCAGCAAACCTGCCGACTGAGCGAATTTCCATTTGTCTGAATTGATTTTCAATTAAATAACATTAGGTTTAATGAGTACCTACCTAGGTTTGCTACTACAGTACAAGGAAACTAATGAAGTGTGTTTTTTTGGTAAAATATAATTAGCTTAGTATAAAATAAATAAATTTGCCAAGATTGATCAAAATATATCCATAAACAAGCAAACTACAAAATTTTACAATATTCTCCATAAGAATAACATGGGAATTAAAATTTAACATTTTTTTTAATTTTCTCCGTTAACAATAACACTTTGATATACTAAATTATTTGTTTTTTAAGCTCTTTAAAAAGGGCTAGAGAGAAATTAAGAAATTTTGTGTTTTGAGGGTAAACAATTTTACCCCATAAAACCCCCCGTAAAACCCCGTTCCTATGGTCCGATCATGCTGGTTCGCGAACTCATTCAAGTTTATCCCGCCTTACACCTCTAAACCAAATTTCATCAAAATCAAACAAAAATTACTCAAGTTATCACGTTCACGGACGTATATATTTACACTCATTACACATAGTCCCTAAAAATTTGAACGAATGGTGTTTTTGGCCTCTGGGGACATAAAAATGAAAAAGTAAATCGGTCCCGAGCCTAGGTCTTACCGTGCCAACTACGGTAATAAACTTCTCTATAGGGAAATTCGCTAAAAACTGCCAACCGGAATATCATAAGCTTCAAATTGGAGCATAGCTAGAAATATGATTAAGAAAACAGGTAGGAATGACAAATGTGGACAGAATGGATAAGATACCTGATGTGGCTTTGCACCGATTACAGTAACGACAGCTGGGTTCAATCATAGACAAAAAGAAATTAATATAAACTGTCAGCCGTGCTGCGGTTACCATAGGTTCTGGCGCACACCGCTGCCTTGAAGTTACGGCGTACACACTACGTAACTACATGGGGCTCCTTGCGGTGTGCTCCAGAACCTATGGTAACCGCAGCACGGCTGACGGTCTATATTTAATTCTTTTTGTCTACGGTTCAATGCTCTTCCTAACCACAAACTGTAAAGAGTCCTTTCCAAATTTTTTTCAGGTTGAACCAATAACCTAGGGTTACGAGGCAAGCAAATTAACACGATTGCTTTTAAGGGATCCAAGCTTTAGAAAGTGGAAGAATTGGCGTAATTAGTATTTTGTAACTGAATAAGAAAATATAAGTTTTGTAGCAATCTGATAGGGTATTTTGTGTTAAAAAAAAATTTCCTATGATACTGCAGGCCTACGGAAGGAGAATGTGTGTTGCTTCTATTGTGATTATCTAACATGTTTTATTTTGGTGTTTTGTAACAGAAAGTTGATATAGCCTATTAGTGCAGTAGAAATAATCGAAAATATAGCTTAAGGTGGAACTAATTGCAACACAAATGATTCTTGCTGTGAATGGTAGGTAGTATGCTTCTAATCAACATACTAAAAATATACATCCGTACTGTGGCGCAAAATACGTTTTTTGGCCGCCATCTTAAAAAAAGGGTCAAAATTTTAATATTCGTAAAAATAACTTTTTGGGTATTAAATTATAGGAAATTTAATGCTGGAAAATGTTATAATAGTGGTTATAAGCACTATTTAGAAATACGATCGTAGTACAAAATACCCCCCGCCGCAGCAAACCTGCAGACTAAACGAATTTCCATTTGTCTTAATTGATTTTCAATTAAATCTAGTAATTCAGTTTTAAAAATCTTTTTACAACTAAATCTAGAGTTCTACTGGACCGATTTTATAACCTAATGGGTCTTTGGAAAGGAATTCGTGTAGATTTTCAAATAATTATTAAAGTTTGATTTTTTAAGATTTGCTAGGCGAAACCCGTCAACGTCAACAATTAGATTAGGTACTGTTGAGTTTGCAAGTAAGATCTTTTTAACTATAAATCGATGATAGATAACTCCATTTTTTAACAATTTGGGTCGTTTATAATTTAGCAGTGTGCTTTAGGTACGTCCAATCTCAATAATCAATAATTCCAATGGAATCTGGTATTTCACTGAAGATTTTTAGATAAAAACATAAAGGATAATGTAACTACTGGAATGCATTTTTAATTGAAGTAAAAATTGAAAAAATCCAATTTAATTGTTTTCGTAGGGTTATACATTTGATAGATTAATTATGACAAATATGTGCTTGCATAGCTTTGAGACCAAAATTATGAAAATCGGTCCGGTAGAAGAGCCAAACGAACTCTAAAAAACAAATTTAACTCCCGTAAGTAATGTACAGGGAGGCAGTTTGTGCATAGCTCAAAATATACGTCAAAATGAGTGCTGATGCTTAATAGCTTGTGCTGGTGCGTCTATAGCTTTAGTTTAAAGCCGAATTTACACTATGTAGCAAAACCTGCTATATAACTTTTGCTATATAACATTGCTTTATAACTTTTGCTGTATGAAACATTTTCAAACAATTTTAGTGATTCTGGTGCTCGTGCTATATGTTATATGTAGCACAACCTCATTTGCATTCCGTATCGAAATGTGCGCTGAAGAGACATGGTTCTTGGCAGCTATCGTGGTGATCTTGGAAGTCAGAGAGAGAGACAGACAGGAGCGAAGATTTTATCAAGTTTTAGGTTTGACCGCTTCTTGCTTCGAGAAATAAGTACAGTGTAGCAGATTTATTTCGGGACCTTAATGATGATGAATACCCTGACAATCCATAATTAAAACGCTAAATAAGGCGACGGTAACTTCAAAAACGTTTTACGCATGATCACAACGCCGGTTGTCCACGGAACAGTTCAATTAAGTTTATAATATCAATAGCCCCGATAATATCATCCCGATCCTAGGCATTGCCACTTTCCGTTTCCAGTCCTTCCATTGTAAACAAAGATCGCTGAACAAAACCGTTCAGTGCTACATATAGCAGATGCTAGACGAAAAATATATGTATATCATTGCTACATGGCAATGTTAGGCTAGGGCCACACTTGGCGACTTAGATGTAGCACGTATTTCTTTTGATATTTACCGACTCCCGATGGATAGCACAATTTTAGCTATATATAGCAGGATCTGCTACATATAGCAGTGTTATATAGCACTTTTGTAAAGTTACTTTTTCTACTTCTAGCAAATGTTATATAACATTGCTAGATGTTACACAAATCTGCAATGTAGCAGGTTTAGCTACATAGTGTAAACCCGGCTTAAGGCAAAAATTATGAAAATCGGTCTGGTAGAAGAGCTAACCCGACTCGGAAAAGAAAAACCAATTATTTGTATAGATGGCAATAATTGATTAACCAGTATGCATAATCTAACCATACGAAAAATGAGTTGATAATTTAACAGCTTATTGTTATATTGTTATTTAATTAAATTTTCTTTGATTGAATATTGTTGTTAACAATTTGCATTTGTGTTTAAAGTGCGTTTCTTATGTTAAGTGTGTGATTCTTATGTTATGAGCTTAATATGTACCAAATGTTAGTGAGTAAAGTGGTGTATGGACTTCATAACCATTATTTTACTAGAGACCGTTGCATTAATTTAACCACAATGGGCTCTGTTGCTAGTCTATTAAATAAATAACATTAGGTTTAACGAAACGAGTACCAAGGTTTGCTGCTACAAGGAACCAATTAAGTGTGTTTTTAGTAAAATATTAATTGTGATTGAGCCATGCAAACGAGCTCATCTTGAAAATGAACGAGCATTTGAAATAAAACCACATTAGGACAGGACGACGTCTGTCGGGCCAGCTAGTTCTCCATAAGAATAACATGGGGATTTTGAATTACCAATTTTTTGAATTTTCCCCGTTACCAATAATCGTACAAAACCCCTTTGATATACTTAACTATTTGTTTTTTAAGCTCTTTAAAAAGGTCTAGAGAGAAATTGGGAAATTTTACGTTTTAAGGGTCAAAAATGAAAAAAAAAAAACAAATTTTAAAAGTATAAAATAACTTATAAATAAAAAACTTTTCAAATGCCACGTTTTTAAACGCACCTTTTTTCGCCCATAGTGCATCACTGTTAACAGTATATTTTAAATTCAACCATTATATTCTTTTCCAGCATGAAATGTTCTATAATTTGATACCAAACCAGATTTTTTAATAATAATTTAATATTTTACACTTTTTTAAATGGCGACCAAAAAACCGTATTTTGCGTAACAGTACAAATGTATATTTTTAGTATGTTTTTTATAAGTGTATTACCTACCATTTCTAACTGGAATAATTTCTGTTGCAATTAGTTCCACCTCAAACCCTATTTCTACTGCACTATATCTAAGCCAAATATTTGACTATCAAGTTGAAATTTTTCCCAGATGTTCTTCATCGTATTCACCAACTTTTTGGTATTACCGTACTATCAACTTGGGTTAAATATTTTTTTCTTCCAATTTTTTTAATCTTACAAGAACTCAAATCTGTTTTGGTTTATTTTTAAACCTTTAACTTACACAAGGCACACAAAATGACACCTAGTTGAACAAAATTGATCAATCTAATATATAAAATTCTCGTGTCACAGTGTTTGTCTGCAAACTCCTCCGGACTTCACCGATCGTTATGAAATTTGGTGTGTAAATTCTGTAGGTATGCGAATCGGACGTAAACTATTTCCCGTTTCGAAATTCTTAAAAGGGCTCCGCCCCAGTGGCTCTGGAGTTTCCCATGTTAACCTTATGAGAAATGGAATTAATGAATCTTAACAGCTGTTTCAATTTAAACAAGTTGGTTCTGTTCTATGATGTTCAATAGCATTAAAGTTACAAGGATTACCAACAGGGTGCAGCACTATTATTTCTTTTACATTTATGACAACAGCTAATTTGCAGCCAAAAGGTGAGTGAGCGTAGCGAATGAGCTCCAACCTAAAGGCAAGTGAGCGCAGCGAACGAGCTCCAACCCAAAGGTGAGTGAGCGTAGCGAACGAACTTCAACCAGGACGTGATTGAGCGATGCGAACGAGATCATCTTGAAAATTAAACGTAACGGTACTTTCTTTCCACCGGTCTGTCTTAGGGGAAACCTATAACTTAGGCGATACGAAGTTCGCCGGGTCAGCTAGTTACTTTATAGAAATTATATCAAATTTACATATTTGTTTTAAAATTTTCTGTATTAAGATTCATAAAATGGTACACATTACACGTAGTACCTATATTGAGTGGCTATAATGATGATGGGAACTACACTTTTGCCCTAAATTTCCTCTAGGTATGAGGTGTGAAACAAGCTACCTACACTTTCAGTACTTTTACAAGTTTTTGTAAGGTGTTGTTCCAAACCCAGGTTTCGTTAATATCTACGTTCGACAAGACAGCATCATCAAGTTATAGCCTAATGGCAAATGGCATTTGGATCCAGAATCCAACTTATTTTGCTCTGAATCAAATCAACGACCTTTTGATTTGAATGTGAGCACTAAAAGAACTGAGATCGATGGGAAACAGGTTTAATTATGGAAAGAAAATTTTGATTTACCGTACCAAACAATTACTCATTGGCTCGACAACGCTTATCTAATCTGGAAAGAAGAACAGATAAATATAACGAATTTGGTGAAAAACATGTACAGAAAATGGAGAGATATGTTACTAAAGTACTACGGAAATAATACTACGGTAATAGGTACCGTAAGTAGTAATGCCACGGAAGAAGCAAGACTTTAAAAAAGTTAAAAATACGAATGCTCTAGAAGAGATGGACCCAGAAGCTTAACCTAGGCTAAGTTAAGTTAATGCCAAAGCTCATTGTAAAAGGGGGGCTCTGGCAGGTAGGTAGCCCTTTTCTTGAATAATATCTAGACCCACAATAAGTTAGTAACAGAAAATTAATATTGAAATCAAATTATAGCCTATAAGTAATATTAATCATTAGTTGTTGTATCATAGGCCTACGATAAAATATAAAGGGTTCTCTGGGAAACTGTACCCAACCAAAAATATACAGAAAACGCTAATAGGCGTGTAAGCGTTTTCAGTTAGAACATAGCTTTTATGCCTAGCGGGTAGACTTCCATATCTGTTGGCACAAACAACCGAATGAAAATAACGATTATTCGATATATCGTTTGGTTAGTTAGGTAAGGTTAACCTAACCAAACGACATATCGAATAATCCATTTTTTCATTCGGATGTTTGTGCCAACAGATACGGAAGTGTAACTTACCCCATTTAGCCTAGGCCTAATGTTGTTAAGTTTTGATACAGCTTTAAACTGTACCTTTTGTAAAATAGCTTAGTGCTGCCGTCGAAATAAATGAATTGAAACAGAAACACCCAAAACACTAGCTAAACTTAGCCTAGCTTAAAATAATTTTTCCAAAACCGGTTCTTGCCTATTAAGTTACTTCAGGTAACTAGCCTAAGTTACAGGTTTTTAAGTCCTAACTCACCTTTGCTGTTGTAGGCCTAAGTTAGTGGGAATGATTCTTGGTCAACAAAAACACTAGTCTTTAAGGTGATGCCGGTAGTAGGCCCCTGCTGCCTAATTAATACGAAACTCTAGCTAAGTTAGGCAACGATGATCAGTAACAAAATATGAAATTAATCTAGCCTACTTCTTAATCATATTTAAAAACTTGTTCTTGGTTCTTGCTCACACTTGATGATAAAATAAAAATCTAAAATCTCATGCATGAACAAAATTGTTCTATTCTAATTCTATACTATTAACTATTTTTTGCTTTGCTTTGACTTTTTAGGTTTCCCTCCAATCAAATCACCACCAAACAAACCACTGGGATATCATTTCATTTCCGAAGTATCACTGTTTCACTATCCCATTTTCCAAATCTAAATTATTCTATTAGCCTAATGGTATATATATATATAATAAAACCCTTGTACCATAGATTAAACACACGCCTCAATTAAACATATGTTCGTATTTCTGAAATTGTGTTGATTAGTCTATGCTATTATTTAATGAACCACTGTATCAACCCTTTGTGGTCTATAGGCCACAATGGTCTTTTATAATTTTTATCACAGATGTGTTACTATTGAAATGAAATGCTTTATTTTCCACTAGCTGTAACCCGCGGGCTTTGCCCCGTTTAACTTCTTAATTTTCAAGATGATCTCGTTTGCATGGCTCAATCACATCCTGGTTGAAGTTCGTTCGCTACGCTCACTCACCTTTGGGTTGGAGCTCGTTCGCTGCGCTCACTTTCCTTCAGGTTAGCTCGTTCGCTACGCTCACTTGCCTTCAGGTTAGATCGTTCGCTACGCTCACTCGCCTCCAGGTTGAAGTTCGTTCGCTACGCTCACTCACCTTTTGGTTGCAAATTAGCTGTTGTCATAAATGTAAAAGAAATAATAGTGCTAGTGCTGCACCCTGTTGGTAATCCTTGTAACTTTAATGCTATTGAACATCATAGAACAGAACCAACTTGTTTAATTGAAACAGCTGTTAAGATTCATTAATTCCATTTCTCATAAGGTTAACATGGGAAACTCCAGAGCCACTGGGGTGGAGCCCGGAAGGATTTTTGGGATAAAAATATGCCTATATGTTAATCGGGAATATGAGCTATCATCATGCCGAATTTCAGCCCGATCCGACCAGTATTTTTCGAGTTTACTTTTCCCATACACACAGCAACCACCTCTTTTTTATAATAGTATAGATTAGGCATGAAATGCAATAGGCATCGTCAGAACAAATAACAATATACAATTTTCATTAAAATTAAAACTAAAATGCAAAAATCACACAGCAAACAAAACTTATATTATATTCTGTCACAGAGGTGTTCTCACCTGTCTTGTGTTCTTATTAATTTATTTGCTGCGGTAACTTTATACTTTAATATCGTTATTTTGAGATGAACAGAAAATAAAAAGAATTTATAATGGGTTATGACTATATTTGGTCATTTGGGTGGCACAATTCTCCCCAAGCAGCTTACAAGCAAGAAGGAGAAGTTTGCCTCCATCGTCTCCGTCTCTTCTCTTTTGGGGGTTTCCTTCGGCGGAAGCCCCCTTTAATAAACACCAATAAGGTGGATCAATTCAGGGAGTCTTACTTTCACATTCACATTACTGGCTGATGGCAACCGGTGGCCTAAAGACGTGGCTGGTTACTTTTGTTTAGAGTCAGCATGATGTGTGGACTTCAACGTGAAGTCCCCCGTCCCACTTTCCCAACGAGGCCGAGGGTGGCGGAAGTGGAGTGACCGGGCAGAAACAATGTTATCCTATAATAACTAAGTAGAATGTTGTGAGATGGTCTGTGTTACTGACTAAGATCAGCTATTTCATCAGTCAGGATTATTCAGGATTATCAGTCAGGTCTTGACTGGAATAAACCCAGCCAGATCCACACTTAATGAAAAACGTGCTGATTCCACTTCCCCATAGCACTCCCGAAAACCCTGCTCAGCATAAGCCAGCTTTGATAGGTCTCAAATAAATAGATTAGCTACATTTTATTCAACTCTAACTACTCCTCGCCATTGTGATACGCCTGCAGCAACTTGCCCTAAACATGATATCGATAAATGTAAAGTTTAATTTAGTTCTTGAGTTAATTTATTGTTGGTTGATCTTGGTCTAATTTAGAAAAGATATGATTCCCCTTACCCCCTTTATCCCCCAAAAGATTAATTAACTAGTTAGACATTATGGGTACCTTGCCAACTGTAGAGACCAAGGAGTCCTTCCCGGTGTGTGGTAGAACGTAGAACTCTAGAAGCAAGACAAACCTCGAAACCTGGTTGCCGGCGGTTGATCCTTTCCGGCCGGAGCGCTAGTGTCGCTCCGAGTAGAACTGTCTGCTCGCCTTTGGATCAGCTGATGGGGTTGACTCTTACCTTATACCATAATTGTTGGCGGTGATGTGGGTTATTCCCACAGGATAATTTTAAGTGGGTTCTGCCATTGACTATTGTATACTGAAGGTTCTACCACGGCGGCCTTTAACTACAGGCCGCAGCCATCGAAGTGGCAACGTCACAAGTAGGGTTGTAACAGCTGTTTTGTTTGGAAGCAGTGAAGCAGGTAATGGTATTCGTGTATTTACGAACGCTTGGTTACTGGGTTAATGTTGACCCGCCTGCAGCTTGCAATTCGTTTTTATCTATTATCTTGAAGTTAAAATCACATGCGAAAAAGACTAATTTATGGATTTTCAAAACTATTTTGTAAATACTTGAAGAAACAATTACCAATTTTTAGTTAATCCAGTGCATATAGTTTGGATCTTAGTGAATATTTTACAGGTTATTTCAACTTGATAAACACTTTAATAATGCAAAGAGGTTATTTTTTGCAGGGCCCTGTTTAAGCGGTATACGCTGGCGAGTGGAACTCTCCAGGGATAACTGGGTCAAATTTCGAAGTTGAGCCATCAAAAAACTACTCGCTAACAACTGACGTTTCTCAGGATCGCACAGGTGACATTTTGGTTGTTAGGGGAGCACATTAACCACTCAGCTACCCAGCCTTTATACTCTCTGGCCATATATTAAAGTTCGTACCCATATATTAAAGCTGGCAAGATATCATTTGTCTGGAAATGGGAAAGATTCTACATCAAAGCACTCGATCGCCACGGGTACAAAAACACGCTAAAGCAACTTTCAGATTTTATAGTAAGATATATATTCTTCATGCAATATCCAATGTCAATGGTTAACGCTACGAAATAACCACGAGGGTTAAAAACAAATAGTGTACCAATTCTAAGAGAAAAAATATTCAACTTAAGATACAGAATAGAGTTACAGGATAATTTGCTGAATAGTGAAAGACAGGCTATCTTTAGAACATGTATTTGGGTTCTTGTTCTTGGGGTTTTGAATACCGTACATCAAATGTGTAAACAACAGTGTACAAATTTTGCTAATTTAAGTTCGGAGTAACAAAAAAAAGGCTCAAGTTAACTGTTGGGCATGTTCTGCCAAAATCGAAACCTTTAAGTTTCGTGCGACACCCGCCTACATAGATCAAGCTGAGTAAGAATAATGAGTGTTAAATTACGTAGAAAAAAAGCTCTGTAGTCCTCTGAATATCGAGTGAAAAAGTACCGGTACTTAAAACATAATAAAAGCAACAATACGTGTGTGATAAAATTTCAGGTATCCTATATATTATACTTTTGGTATTTATATTATATTCAATGCTGTGGTTGTCAACACTTCCAAATGCTATCTTTGGTGTCGAAAGCTAAAACTATAAAAATACAAAATGCTAGTACACTTCAAATCAGCTGTTTCAGGTTGTAAACAAACAGCTGCTTGAAAATCTTGATGACAGACTGACAGACCACCGGGCCGCTGCTGCTGTCTCCACACGCTGATCTGTTGGTAATCCTCTGAACGTGCCTCTGCAGGATCTGCCATTTCCGGTCCTCCCTTTGAAACGGAAGTGTTTACAGCACTACAAGGCCTCCCTACAAACAAAATATGTCTAAGGCACACGCTTAGGTGGGCGTCTGCTTTACTAACAATATAATTTACTATCTCAATGCTCAAACGATGTGATCGATTCATTTGTATGGACAATTCTGATTTACGATTGAAAACAATCCAGCCATGTCTAAATAAATCTTCTCTCGTTACTCTGTACACACAATTGAATCTAATTTACTACAGAAAGAAATTATGTTTGAAATTTATATTCAGCACGACACTAGAGTTTATCTTCAAGCTAGATTTACCGAACAATAGTCACAATTATTTCTCAACCTGTTTTCCACCATTTTCGAGCATTTCCAGAACATACAAGGTTTATCTAGCTGGTTGACACACACAATCATGGTGACTAATCCAACTGAAGATTCGTAGTTTCGATTTCCTGGTGACTCCTGTGACGTAGTAATCCGTCGGCCAGGTGGTCATCCTAGTATTTATGGAATAATAAGTTTGCCAGAGCAGCGCGAGCGATATTTCCCTGTCACGAATCGCACATCCGTCTCTCTGTCCCTGTGTTTGGGTGGTCTGGTCTATCCCTCCCCATGTAGTGGCCCTGGAGGCTCAAATATTTCACGGTAACACGTCCACTGTCAACACTCTTGTAGGGAGGGAGTCATGTTTCAAAGTTACATTTTCTAAAACTAAAATGAATATTTCGAACCGTTAGTTTTAGTTATTCATAGAACTATGACTTACATTCCATTCACAGGAACTTTTCTGTTAATACACTAGTATCACTATATAATTTCTACATATAAATACACAATCAAAGTTTTAAAATATGTCTTGGTTCTAAATTAACCTAACCTAACCCAGCCCAAAACAACAACAGGAGCATTCTAAACAGAATTTCGTAAATAATTACAACATATAAATTTGAAAATACCCCCGCCGCAGCAAACCTGCAGACTAAGCGAATTTCCATTTGTCTGATTTGATTTACACTGAAATGTCTACTTAAAAATATAACATTTATTCCCGATTTAAATAGAATTAGTTTAACAAGTACTTAGGTTTGCTGCATCAGGGAGGGTAAAACTGTTTTTTTTTTTAAATGTTAATAGTTAGTAAGAAATAAAAACGTTTTCCAAATTTGATCAAAATATGTTCATAAACAAGCAAACTACAACAGTTTACTTATTCTCCATAAGAATAACATGGGAATTTTAAATTTACAATTTTTTTTAATTTTCTCCGTAACCATTTGGCGCATAATAACGCTTCAATATACTAAATTATTTGTTTTTTTAAGCTCTACAAAATGGTTTGTAAAGAAATTGCTAAATTTTAAGTTTTTAGGGTCAAAAATGGAAAAAACCTATTTTTACCCCATAAAACCCCCCGTAAACCCTCGTTCCCATGGTCCAATCATGCTGGATCGCGAACTCGTTCGAATAAACGTAGGTTTACACGTTTGTACCAAATTTCATCAAAATCGGATCATTTTTGCTCGAGTTATCGTGCTAACGGACATATATATATATATATATATATATATATATATATATTATTTTCTTGCATATATATGAATTTGAACGGATGGTGTTTTTAGCCTCTAGGGACCTCAAAACGAAAAAAAAAATCGGTCCCGCGTCCAGGTCTTACCATGAGTACTACGGTAATAGCTTATTCCCTATAGGGGAAATTCGCTAAAAAGTTGGAAATCAACAGAAAATATGCGTTTTTGTGTTAAAAATGCTTCTAGTTTTTAAATGAAATTGAACGAAGTTAAATCGAGCCACTGAGGAGTGCGATGATGTAAATTACTCCGTTGACGAATATGCAAACATTATTACCAAGACAAACTGAAATGCCGACTTATTGTAAACTTTAGCATCTTTTACTTTCGATCAACTATCTTCGTAACAAAAACCAAACGATAATATCGAATTTGTCACTGTAGCACACCATGCAAGTCAATCATTTAACTATATCCTTAAAAAAATATGCTGCAGCTGCACCATACAAATGCGATGCAGTACCCATTCGAAAACCAATCAAAATGTGTTGTTCTTTTTAAATGTACTAGCGGTAGACAATTTTTAAATTCAGATTCAACATTATTTAATGAGAACTCCCATTATGTACTTACCGTAGTAATTCTTACTAACGATACAATTTTGGCAGTAGGCCTACTATAGTTAGAGTACGAGTAAGAATCATTAAACAATGTTAGAGACAAAAACGACGCTATAGCTAAAAAAGTAATATCTTTATGTTAATATCTCTGATTGGGAAAGTTATACATTTTGGCTAGTATCAGCACGTTATGTAAATATAAACGGTGTCAGCAATCTGACACATACTTTTCCCCATTATCTTGCCAACAACCCTTATCATGGTTGGTTGAACCAGCCTCAAGTGGTGGGAGAAAGTATGGTATGTTATGGGTGAAATCAGACTTTCAATAACTCTTGATCCGTAATTTTTACACCAATTGGGGTTGTACCATTCTGTTAAGAATCATAGGAGCCAAAAATACTAAACTGTGATCCTTAACCTTATATATGAATAAATTTATATGCTATCGCTTAACCACAACAATTAAAATTTAAAAGTTGTAAAGTTGTAAAAGTTGTAAATACTCTTTTTAATACTTTTCAATGAAATGGCGACCATGCAATGTGGGTATTTTAAGCCAAGTATGAATGGAGATGAGTGTAGGATGAGTGGTGCGATCTTGTAGTCTTGTTAGTGACTAAGGCACTAACAAAATAAGGTCTAATATTCCTTAGACACATCTGTTAATTAATATCCCATACAGCGAATGGCAACTAAGGGACCTACAGTTTAATAGTGGAGTCCGAACCACGTTTTTGCCTTTGTATATAAGATCAGGATAGTACTGCGGATAGTCGTAGTACTCACTTGTGTGGACGTTAATCCACACCAGGGAGTATCGCATCCACAGCTCATTCCTATATATCCACAATCCGTTTTTATTACAGTTTCAAAATATCCCACAGTTACAGTAGTTACGTTCACTCAGAATAAAATCAATGTGTGTTTATCTCAATCAATCCAATGGAATCAGATATAAAACAATGTAGAAGGTATTAAATATTTTTAATATCTACGTTTAGTATCTTAATTCAGTTTACCTTGTATAAATCGTTAAATTATTTTATTTTGATTAATCAATTAGATAACTTTCGCATTAGACCACTCAATTTTGAATTGTTTATTGAAAACTGTACAGAAATATGTTTACAAAGCTTATATTCTAATATAACTCAGATAGGCTCTGTTCTATTATACAAAATGGCGTAATCAAAATTAGAAAATTGGCACACTGAATTCAAACCTTTGAAAAGGTACGACATCAGAATAATACTGTCCTTGAAAATTTCAACTGTAAAGACTTTTTAAAGACGTTTCTATCACCATACCATCATTATCATTATCATTTGAGCCATAATATTAAGATGTTCAAAATATATTCCGTTAACAGTGATAGTGTTAAAATACTGTAATTGAAATTGCAATATTTAAATGCATGAAAATACTCTACTAACATCAATAAGCCACTGGTTCAAATTAATTAAACATTATCACCTTATAATGTACCTTTAAATTAAACTAGTTTTATTCTGAAAACCCATTGGATAAGGTTGTTCCTGGATGAGGTTTCGCTTAGTAAATTAGTTTTGAATTACCAGGAGGGGGGGGGGGGGGTCAATCAAGTAGGCCTAAGTGAAATTGAATTGTTTATATACCTTTTTTCATGAAAAAAACAATCTTACGAATTTTAAATATTTTAAGGAATTTGAATAATATGTACATTGCCACCTACAATTACTATCTTTTTCTAACAGTTGTAACTAATTCAGGCTATTTACTGGGAAATATACACGAGATAAGACATCAATCAAAATAACAGGAGTAAAACTATGTACAATAATATTTACAATAGCACATATTTTAACCAGCTACAGCAAAATAATGGGCAAAAATCTAAAAGAAAAACAGAACTCATTCAAATTGCTTATTTAATTTGTTTGTTCAAACATCTTTTAAAATGACTAGCTTAAGTTTGATGATAAAAAATGTTTCACTACTTCCTAATATTGGTTTAGAAATAACCAACTACGAAAAGTAATTGAAAACGAATGAATTCATAGTTCGGGTTTTTGTTCGTCCAGTTGCGTATTTACGTAACGTATACATAATATCTGCTGAAACAGATTTTCAAAAGAATTATCGAGGACAATATTATTGTTATCACAGATTTCAAAAATTTCAATACGTTTTGACATACGGAATCAGGCCTTCGTGTATGAGGGAAAGTAAAAGTAAAGAAATTAGTAAATAAACCAGACAAACGGGTGCCGAGACAAGATACTACATTAAAAAAATACATTTTTAGAGCTGGTTATATGTTACAAGACTAAAAATAAGAAACAAAGACGTCCATAGAAACGTCCATTAACGATACGATAACAACCACCCAGTCCGAGTAGCCTACTGAAGCCCCAATGGCGATCGTTTGCAATTTTTTTTTAAATAAGATATTTACTATTTTCAACTGCTCTAAAACTCTTATGTAAACTATCTGACGGATACCAGTTTGAGCATAATTCTTCTTATCGACGTTTCTACCTGAAAACGGTGTAAATTATTCCACATCCCGAAACGTCCACTGATTAAAAATATTCGCGATAATCATTTACACAACGTACATTCCATATTTTTATCAAACTACAGTGGTAGCAAAACGGGAGTGCCGATGGAGACCTGTGGGGGTGCGTGCGTTTGAAGGGACTTGACCTGGTCTCCATCGGCACTCCCGTTTTGCTACCACTGTAAAAAACGAATTTCTCATAAGATTTTGTCCAAAGATTTAAAATTCACTGCTACGCCACATCAGCTGAGTTTGCTGCCGAAGCTGACGTCACTTGCTGATGTGCTGACGTCACCGTCTTGCTGATACTCTCCACGATGAGGCTGAGGCAGTCAAGACTAGACGTGGAGCTGGGAGTTTCACTTGCTGAAGTAGCGAGGTGTGAGTTGCTTTCCGTTGAGAAAGCTGTAAAAAAGACAAACTGTATTACTTTTCTTTTGGTATTATTTTGAAAATAACTCAAGGTTCACTGGTTCAAGCATGATGAGGGGCCTTGAGAGAAGGATTTGGAAAATTGAGATGTTATAAACTGAATATAGGCCTAAATCTAGTAGATAAAATCGTGCTGTGCTAAATGTTTGTTAAGTCAGTTAGTGCAAATTTTACGTATTGTATTTAAAGGAATAGCAGAGGTTCCTTAAAAGGAATTTCGTCAACCCTAAAGCGCTCTACGGTCAGATATCTTTGGGTTTTTGTGACTGACAGGAAGGGAGGTGCAATCTGTGTGCTCAAAATTGTATTGATTATTGGGATTGCCAATTTTTAAGAATGTGTGATAAAATTTTATAATAAGGTGGGTGCTTCAAACGTGTTACGACAAGAAGGGTTTATGGATACCAATTTAAATTAAATACACTTTTACACATTTTGCCGTGGTCTTCTCCTAACCTGATACATTTCAACACTGCATTGCCATTCTAACATAAATCAAAACACTAAAATCAATAAACAAACAAATATGCACTGTTTACATCAGCTGGTATTATTTAAAAATGCTTATAGAAACACTGTAGCAGTACTTCCTTCAGAAAATTACTGGATCTCTGACGGCCTGTGGGGCAGAGCAAGGGTAATCTTTGACACTTCTGATATTTTTACCGCCATCCTTGGACCTTAAGCTTTAAAATAAATCCTCAAAAGCCATGCTACCTTTTACCTAGCTCGAGATATTTCGTGGGGACCGATTTGCTTATGAAATTAAATATATAGATGATAAACAACGCTCACCTTAAAACTTAGGACAATTAAAATTAATTTTATCGTACAGTTAAAAAGGATAGTTACAACTGCAATAACGATTATAATTAGATCCGAACAACTATCGCCTAGACCAAAAATATAAACACAGCCTAATTTACAACTGCCAAAACTAAACTGAAACAACTTTGTTAGACGAAAATACAACAGCGAGGAGTTCAAAGACGGGAAAGAAAGGAGTGGGTGGAGAGGGAAGTGGTTTTAATCAATTCCACACATCTTGATGTGTATAAATAGTGGTACCATCGTTAGCCGTGCAACGTTTAGTTAGAGCGATGCCTGGTGTTGTAATGTAGCGTGGCCGCTATTTCCAGCTCTTGGCTGATTGCTGCTCTGATATTGTACCGATGGTGTTTAATGAGTGATATTGCACTACAACGTTTAGTTAGAGCGATGCCTGGTGTTGTAATGTAGCGTGGCCGCTATTTCCAGCTCTTGGCTGATTGCTGCTCTGATATTGTACCGATGGTGTTTAATTGGTGAAATTGCACTAAAACGTTTAGTTAGAGCGATGCCTGGTGTTGTAATGTAGCGTGGCCGCTATTTCCAGCTCTTGGCTGATTGCTGCTCTGATATTGTACCGATGGTGTTTAATTGGTGAAATTGCACTAAAACGTTTAGTTAGAGCGATGCCTGGTGTTGTAATGTAGCGTGGCCGCTATTTCCAGCTCTTGGCTGATTGCTGCTCTGATATTGTACCGATGGTGTTTAATGAGTGATATTGCACTACAACGTTTAGTTAGAGCGATGCCTGGTGTTGTAATGTAGCTTGTCCGCTATTTCCAGCTCTTGGCTGATTGCTGCTCTGATATTGTACCGATGGTGTTTAATGAGTGATATTGCACTACAACGTTTAGTTAGAGCGATGCCTGGTGTTGTAATGTAGCGTGGCCGCTATTTCCAGCTCTTGGCTGATTGCTGCTCTGATATTGTACCGATGGTGTTTAATGAGTGATATTGCACTACAACGTTTAGTTAGAGCGATGCCTGGTGTTGTAATGTAGCTTGTCCGCTATTTCCAGCTCTTGGCTGATTGCTGCTCTGATATTGTACCGATGGTGTTTAATGAGTGATATTGCACTACAACGTTTAGTTAGAGCGATGCCTGGTGTTGTAATGTAGCGTGGCCGCTATTTCCAGCTCTTGGCTGATTGCTGCTCTGATATTGTACCGATGGTGTTTAATGGGTGATATTGCACTACAACGTTTAGTTAGAGCGATGCCTGGTGTTGTAATGTAGCGTGGCCGCTATTTCCAGCTCTTGGCTGATTGCTGCTCTGATATTGTACCGATGGTGTTTAATGAGTGATATTGCACTACAACGTTTAGTTAGAGCGATGCCTGGTGTTGTAATGTACCGTAGCCGCTATTTCCAGCTATTGGCTGATTGCTGCTCTGATATTGTACCGATGGTGTTTAATGAGCGATATTGCACTACAACGTTTAGTTAGAGCGATGCCTGGTGTTAAAGTAAGCGTGGCTGCTATTTCTAGCTTCTGGCTGATTACTGCTTTGATATTGTAACGATGGAGTTTAATGAGTGGTATTGGATATTGTCCTGCATCGTTTAGTCAGAGTGATCTCTCCGTGTCGTAGGTACCGCAGCGTGTCCGAATGTTCAAGCTCTTATTGCTGCACTGCTGCTATAGACTCCAGAGACTCTAGATTTGACTCCAGCAGAGTTCACTAGGTTGGAGAATTTTGATTTCTGAATCTCTGAGAATCATCTGAATTTTAATTTTGTGATCTAGAGTACGAAGTCTAAGCTTAAAGAGAATTTTTATTGCATTATAAAAATGCATCCTTTCAAATCCAGATATTTATAGACCACAAATTCTTAAACTTCATAATTTGCAGAGCAATACAGATATTGTTGTGTTACGTGTTGACAAAATATTCTTCCATGCCTAACCAGACAAAACGCATGACTCGAGTGTCACACTGTGACAAATTCTATTTCACATGCTCGCAGCGCGTGTGCCAAGCTGATTAGCCGTGGATGGATCATGCATGACTCATAGGAACGAATCCTTCCATTCACGTCCAACTTGTATATTCATAGCTGCAGTAAGTCAACGGATTAGTGCCTAATGTTAAGGGGAGATGCCAAACGATTTGATCCGCACGGTTCATCACTTCACCTGAATCACCGCGAACTAATCTCTCCATTCATACCACAGAGAAGGTGTTATAGCATGGAGCCCCACAGTACCATGCTTAAAATGAAATAGCGAAGAACCAACTGCAGTATTACGTTTTACAGACATTACAAATCAATCTTGTTGCACAAATGTATTTGTCGTATTACAGTACCGAATAATTAATTTTCAAATCTTACAGCTTCGAATCAACACAAAGGTACTGACTTTAAAACAACATCAAAAGCTCCGAAGGTAAAATAAATCCTTCACCATACCTTCCATACCTCCAAATCCCCCTGTGCCATATTCTTTCGGTAGTAAGGACGATTTAGAAATGCATTTGGAGCAGTTGGACTTGCCTTTGCCAGTGATGCTCCATGCTACCAGGAATCATTGTTTTATAGGAGAAAAATCAAAAATACTTCTGATAGATTTATTTTCCTTCTGGTAACTCTAAGTCTGTGAATCCTTATAATAAATTTACGAATAAAGTTTTAATTTTGATTTCTGTCCGTTGAGTGCACATTGAGGTTCATTAAGTTGTTCGAAAGTTATTGTAACTTATGATATTTTCCCATAACAAAATCATGAAATAAAAAAAAACAGATTTCAGGAAAAAAAGCTGGTGTTGAATTTAATTAATATGTTATGGCCCTTAAAATTCTAAACAAAATAGAGCAACCCCCCATTGCTGAAACAAATACGGTTCAAAAGCTATTGCAATTTTTGTGATTTTCCCTATAAAATATTATTGTTACTCCCACCGCTTACCCATCTTAAGAGTAGTTGTCAAGCTAATGGGAGAAAGCATGTGTCAGATTGCTGATACCGTTTAATTAATTTCTAAAATATGATAAACAATAAGTGTTACAGGGTATACGTTAAGCCAATGCTAACGTATAATCAGACCTTGGACCGAGGAAGATTTTCACCAGCGACCGAGTGATTTATGGATTCATTACTGCAAGAGGCGACTCGTGTTGCTGTGTTGAAGGTGTTTCAAAGCAATGAGGAGGTGACAATGAAAATACGAGTAAAGAGACTGGTGACTAGTCATTAGGTTCTTCCGGGGCCTTAAATAGTTCTCATGATGGACGAGCCGCTAGCGACTGATGTCTCTGTGTGTGTGTCGTCGCTTCGTATGTCACACGTGGTGTGTGTCTGTGTGTGTGTCCAGTTGTTTCTCACACGCACGCAAAATAAGATATTTTATTTATATTGTACGTGTCTTTCATATTTCTGAGGTTTAATGTTGAGTTTTTATCGCGTTTCACCATGGGAAGGTTATCATTTCTTCGTGGGAGATATTCAGGTCTGAAACCTCTGATCGTTTTAGAGACTAAAAGTAAATTCCCTCAAAATGTATGTAAGAAAGTTATGTTTACCTTGAGGAGAAAAAACAAACTAATGTAGATATATGGACAAAATATTTAACAATTTTTACAAAATTATTTTTCTCGTAAAACCTTGTAAACGCTTAGGAAATAAATAATTTCCTAATAGGAAAAGAATTTAAGTCTTACACATTTTAACTCTAATCTATAAATTGACAACTTAATTTGTTCAAGGTTTTTGCGATTGGGGTACTTTCTACCTAATACTAACCTATAAATTAGTATAATATATTAAATTTAAAAGATGGATAAGCACTTATAGTCTTCATAGGACTAGGTAGTTGTCTGGATTGACGGTCTAATAGATAAGTTTATGTGGATTTAATTAATTATGCAAATTTACTTTTAAAACATAGCTTTAACACATTTAATAGGTTTTAGCTAGAGATTTAGTCATGATTAGGGTCTCATTTGTTGTCACTGTCAATCAACTAAAACTTAAAAACTTAAAACCTTATCTTAATAATGTTAGGTTTGTTATTTTGTTAATATCAGTTCAGAACCGAGGTCCTGAGGTTTATGTTATTCAGTTGTACACTCTAAATATTGAATAAAATAATCTCATTTATTGCTTACTGTATACCATAGAGTTTTTTAGGGCTATGACTCAGGC